TAATTATCATTTCTACAGTCATTATAAAATATTAACAGTTACATAAAGGTAAAGTCATATTCTAGTAATTACGTAAACCTTAAAGTAAAAATCAAGGATTTCTGCAAGCTGGGACTAACATCTATTGGTCCCAGCTGCAATGTCTTTAAAAGAGAAAAATAACGTGAGGCTCTTGTAGGATGCTTTATTGTTTTCAATGATACAGTGCTATGATAAGCTGTAACTGTAAGATTTTCAAATCTATATAAAAATTTGGTATATTAAATCAAAAAATTTATCACTGGACCTTACGGCATTATAAAAAAAGGTTATTTCAGGAATGCCATAAAAATCGTTTTGGATGGTTGGATGGTTGTCTCATTGGCTATCGGAAGTGAAAACAAGCATTACGATCATTGACGAAAATTAAAGATTCATATAACATTTTATTTCTTTCAGATTTTTATTTTCTTCAAAAGTCACTTTTAAGTGGCTAGTGAAATCTAAAAAAAATACTATCATTAATTGTCGGGCAAGGATCATCATGGAGACCAAGACAACTAATAGTAACATAAATATCAGTAATAATGATAAAATAAAGCCCGCCTTTTGCTGATAAACAACAACAAAATTTCATCATAAGACAAATAATTTATTTAGTTGCATGTATGAGATATCCAGAAAACATGCTGTACCAAGCGCCATTGCCTGTGTGAATGTATCCGATTCCGCTTCCGCCACATTTGACGTAAACTCTGTCGTTCTTTTTCAGATTTAACACCATATTAGCCGTTCCTTCATTATAACCAGTACCAGGAAATACAGATACCAAACGGGTTTCATTCTGCCACAGGTAAACAAGTAAATCCCTCCCTCTGCTGGACATTACTGTGAAGGAGAACTGATACACGCCTTTAAAAGGCGCCTGAAATATTCCAGTATTTGGGTCATAATCGTTTCCATTGTTTGTCCAAACTTTGTCGAACTTTACAATTTCGGTGGCACCAAGAACTTTTGAATTTGTCAATGATGCACTAAAGGCAGGAATCTCTTTTAGTTTTGGATAGCTACAATTATCTGGGGAAAAAAATATCTCGATGAGTACGGTATACAATGTAACGTTTCTCAGTTCCCCCTATATTACTTACACATTTCAATTACTAGTTCTAATATTTAATAAGAAGAGTTATAGATAAAGTAAGTACACGAATTCTTATAAGGCAATGACTTCTCGACTCGTACATGATTCACTGTAATACAGTTATTTAAATGTCTGTCAAGTTTAAATGTTCTAACTTCACGTGAACGTTTCAGAATTTTCAACTTTGATAAAAAGATATCTTCATTTGAACTATTCCATTACACAACACATTTCAATCCCATCATTTATACCATGCGGATATAGTACTGATGATTGTTTAACATCATCTAAAGCACCATGAATGCTGTTATTCATACTTCACGCATTTTTGTTGGTTATGTTCTTGATTGGACAAAATAGAAAAGATATCTTGCGCCGAACCGTTCCTTTACACAACACATTTCAGTCTCATCATGTATAACTCGCGGGTATTTTACTAATGGTTGCTTAAATGTTATATAGAACACTTATGCATGCCCTTATTCCTACTCCACATTTTTGTTAATCATGTTCTTGATTGGACAAAATAGTGAATTGATGTGAATTACGTTGAGTTTAGTTGTTTAAACATTTCAGTTGGGTTTTTTTAAAATTAAATCGACCTTTCATTACTGAGTGGTAATTAAAGCAGCTTTTGTTTCCTCCTACTCTATATTTTAAAAATGTGTGATTTCAAATCTAAGTTACATTAAAATTCAATTTTCTTAAAATCTGTCGACAAAAAGTACTTACCAGATCCTCTAGACTTGGACATCATTGCTAGAATATCCTCAACCAGCGAACACTCTGCAATAAACATAAAGAGTACGTCGATACAAAAGACAAATTCCAATGTTATTTTTATGTAACTTTATTTATTTAGCTATAGTCGAAGGTTTCAGGTTGAGTGAGCGAGCCACATTGAACCAAAAATTTTAAATCTATTAAGGTTGCTGACTACTTACTTTGAACTTCTCCTGAAATGGTTATTCTATTAAATACACTAATCGGCGTTATTCCAATTACTGAAAATGCATGTTTTTGTCTTTAGGTGACTTCTGTGTCTATAATAGATCTTTCATAATTTTCATAATGATAAATACACACGGTTTCCACATGTTTGCTTTTAACAAATGATATCCGTAGAAGCTTATAGGAGGAAGGATAATGAGGCATATCTAGTATGTCCCAATCGCTTTGTATAGACCCTGTCAACTGAATTTACCAACTAACGAAATATAGAGATAATATCACAAGTACTTGTCTCTGAATTTTGTTCCCTATATATCTTATATAAATTATTATATTAAAGTACATAGGGAAAAAAAATTCTGAGACAAGTGCCTGTGGATAACATGCATAAGTAAAAATCTAAATTATACTCACTGAAAGTACAGCTTCCATCAACCAAGATCACATGGCAAACTGCAAAGACTAGAAAAAGAGTTGGTGTCAACTTCATGGTGCACTGCTAATACCTCCGTTGGAGTGAAATGACCACGATATACTGTTGAGTATATAGTTAAACGTATTTCTAGGGTTATAACACAGCTGTTGTAATTTGATCTTTTAATTTACTTTTGTCACGAAAGGTTCATCACGAAAGTAAAGGTGACATGTTTTATTATTTAAGTCCTGATAGATTTTGAAATTTTAATTCGTCAATGAGAGAGGAACCCAAAGACACTTGTCTATCTTGGCCATGCTGTCGGCAAAACATTTTAAAAACATACTTGTGTTTAGGGTTCCCTACCTATCCCGTTTTAACGCCTCCAATATTTTACCCTACATTTTTTATTTACCAATTTCACAGTGAGTCATGAGAAAATTTTAGGCAGACCTCATACGTACTGTACCCAAGCTGGGAAAAAATGAGAAAAAAACCCACCTTCTTATCCTATTTTTTTTTGCAAGAAAATGACCTTAAACAACATTTTTTTACTTCGATTTTTTTTAATTGCATCTTGGTATCTTCCATTGATAACCACCACTGAGTCGATTCCAATGCGTCTAAAATTTCGCCCATGATAACTGCAGCCGTGATCTTTTTGATCATATAGCTCTTCAACTGTTGCCGTTCTTATACATCCTTGATTTCAAATATTCGGGTTTGAGCGTTCCTGATGAAGGTAAATCCAGAAAGGCGCTTCGGATGCATGAACTTTATAACGTGTTGTTTTCAGTTTTTAATAGCAATTGTATACATAATATTGGGTAGGTTATCTGAAATTCTGTCTATGATGTCGCTCAGTATAAAAAGATCCTACCAATGCATGATTAAATATAAGTGTAAATTGTGTAAAGCAGAAGTCCAATTTTCTTATGATTGAACGCCAAACAACTCTGATATTTCATATTCATATCACCCTAACATCAATCCTTCTAATCTTTACACGCGGCCGTTCACCGTTCAGGTACAATGTATTATGGATTTTATTACTTCAAACAGCTCTGTATTATTAATGTTAAACCTCAAATCCGCAAAACTCTTTTGAAGAGTTAGGGCCAATATCCCCTGAAATTATTTCATATCATTTCCAATTCAAGTTCTAAATCCAAAATGATTTCAATCTTGTCTGATGTTTACAATATGGAAGCTTCGTTTGTGTCATTTGAGATTTTAAACAATACCTTTGTGTATTTCAAACTATGTCTTGTCTTGGTTTTTTTTCGGTTACTTGATCCGAAAGTTGGCTCAAAACTGCAATTCGTGATTGATTTTTTCAAGTTTTAAGTAAAAATCGAAAAAAATTATAAGAAAGACGCTCCTATTTTAAATTCAGGAATATTTCTCCCTCATGCAAAGGTCTGATTTCTTGCTTGGCTTTGAATATACTTTTTTTTTCCTTTTTTTATATAACTCCTCATCTTTTTAATTAGCTTTGGATTTTCAATTATTTTGGCCTCGAGCATCACTGAAGAGACATTTATTGTTGAAATGTGCATCTGGTGCAGAACAATTGGTACCGTTACTGTTATCCTAACCATGTCCAAAATTAAGTTGGACGTTCATTTATGTTTGGTATTCTCAGATACAAATTAATCCTCGTTTTTTAAGGATCCGTATATGCCAAATTTTACAAAATCATGAAAGTTTTGCAATATTGTATGAAGGTCGTCTTCATCAACAATAAATAGCATTACAATTATTCATTTCATTGTTATCTTATTAGTATTCCTAGAATTATTTTAAAATCTTTAATGTGTATCTTAAAGACTCTTTAATATTCCAACTTCAGTATGTATTAACCACTGTTGAATTTTGTACCTGTGAGTGAAATTAGCTCTACTCTTTCATAAAAGAAGCTCAATTCACTGTATAATGTAAAGAGAAAAAATATCAAAAAGATTAAAAAAACAAAGAAATGACCAAAAATCAATTCAAACTCGAATAGCTGTTTAAAAGAACAAACCTATTTTATATTGTGCAGATTTATAATTGAGAATAATGCTTTAATTGATGGCACCTACGCGTTGTTCGGAAGGCATAATCATCTTAGAAATGCGTATTTCCGGTGTCTGCCATCTGTGATAGCAATAAACGCCATGATACTTAAAAGCAATGATTTGAATCTGATGTTTCTGAAACTAATTTGTACACAGAATTCAGTTTTGAAAAGGAAGTTATTATAGTTGTGCCCGCATGTGATGTATTTTTAACGGTCCTCATTAACGGTCATGCTTTTAATAGCTCAGAGTCTATAAAAGTTGTAACTAATTTCAATAGGAGACGATAAAACTGAACACTGTGACCAAATTTGTAACAAATTTAAAGAATTAAAAGATATATAACACCTTTACCTACGTCTCTTCTCTCATTTTGATCGTTCAGTGGGAAGAACCATTGACAATGGTATACAACATCCTATATTTTTTAAGACCACGTTATATAAGCAGCACACTTTTCAGACATTTGTTTTATTTTGAAACGTGTATAAGATAACCAGAGAACATGCTGTACCAGGAACCATTGCTTGTATGAATGGATACTGCACCACTTGCTGTTCCGCATTTAACATAAACTCTGTCGCCCTTTTTAAGATTCAACACCATGTTTGCAGTCCCTTCGTTATAACCAGTGCCCGGATATACAGCAACCAGACGAGTGTCGTTCTGCCATAAATATACCTCCAAATTTTTCCCATACTTGGACATCACAGTGAAAGAAAACTGGTACACGCCATTAAGATGTGCTTGAAATATCCCTGTGTTCGGGTCATAGAGGTTTCCATTATTGGTCCACACTTTGTCAAACTTTATAATTTCAGACGTGCCTAGGTCTTTTGCATTTGTCAGTGATACAGAAAAGGCAGGAATTTCCGTAGGTGTAGTATCACTACTATTGCCTGTAAATAAAATTAAAATTTGTATATGCTAATTGAATAATATAAGGTAACTTTTATATTTAAAACGTGATTGGAAATATAGCTCTTTTTGCTTTTAAATGTGAAAGTCAATAGTTTTACTACTTAGGCGACCATGATTTAAAATTATTTCGAAACCACTATGCATTTATCTTAATAATTTGTAAACTGTTTGTGTAGAAATAAATGTTCAAATATGCATTTGTTCTGATGGTGTACTGTTACACCACTGTCCCAGGTTAGGAGGAAGTTGGCGCCAGCAAACATGTTGAACACCACCACATTCCATATGTGTCGATCCCAAGCCAAGATCCTGTATTTCAGTGGTTGTCTTTGTTGCTGTATATCATATTTGTTTTTCATTAATTGTTTTGTACATAAATCAGGCCGTTAGTTTTCTTTTTTGAATTGTTTTAAATTTGTAATTTCAGCTTACTATGTCGTATGGGTTTTGCTCATTGTTGAAGGCCGTCCGGTGACCTATAGTTATTAACTTATATGTCAAACATCTGGCGGAGAGTTGTCTCATTGGCAATTAACCACATCTTCTCATCTTTATATTGTTTTACATTCAATATGTAAAGAATAAAGGAACTAAAAGCTCGTAAAACTGACATTTAAAAGAAGTTAAGCTTTACCGTAATGATAATATCCCAAGAGAAAAAAAATTCATACATACAATATCTAAAGCTCTTTCTATATACTAATTTCTATGTTCCTACTGTTTAAAAGCATGTTATACTTTCTTCTTTTCCTATGAGAACTTGGCAAACAGAAAAACAAAGTCAATTTCGTAGGTCTTTACGCATCGTTATAATGTATAATTCTCTCTCCTCGTTTGTTACGTTTAGAGGAAATGATAACTTTATAAAACAACTTCGTTTGTATTTTTCGGTTTTTCAACTTAAACTGTTTTATGTGTTTTGTTTTTTTTTTATTTTGTGAAGTTATGTTCATTAGCGTTCGTCGGATTATGTGTGATCTAGTAAAAACGAAGGCATAATCCCTGCGAGTTCCTAAGAAATATTTTATCGAATCACTTTCCTAAAGAATTAACACTCCGTTTAAGATTTGTCAAAGTATCGAACTCACCCGAGCTTTCAACTTTATCTCTATTAACTTACTACTTTTCTGATCATCGAAGTCAACCATTCTTTTGATGAGTGACAACCTTCGCGCTATCCTGTCGACGAGAATTTCCATGAAATGTTTGAAAAAGTTACCAGCCCGAAAAATGGTCCAATATCAGTTTTTATATCTAACTCGTGCGGGATTGTAATGTCACATAAAATGCAGAGGATCTGATCATACGGAGGCTCTTTCCTGGCGACAACGAAGTGTTGGCGGACGGACTGACGGACGGGTCAAAAACCTTTTACCCCTCCGCAACTTATTATTATTCAATTTGTGGGGAAATGTAAAAATATGTAAATATAAATACCGGATCGTTTAATTTTCAGAATCATATCAAGAAGTCCATCAATCAGCTCATTTCCTGAAGAAAACAAGTATATGCTATTAAAAATTACCATACATGTTAAGGCACCTACCATCCATTTTTTTCTGTAAAAGTTGGGGTGGGGGAGGGAGACATGCGTTTTCCCGTAAAAAACACACTTTTCAATTTCCATTCACGGCAAGAATTTATAACGGATCATAAATTCTTTACTAATATGTTATGTAGATTTTTTTCTAAAAATTAAAAGAAAATTTAAATTATTTGACTATTTGCTTTTTGTGTTTTTAGGCGGATTATTCATTTACACATAAAAAGTCAACTGACTTAAATGTACATGTGATAGATATATATAATTTATATTAAATCATTTCATGCAGAGCTTTGCTCTTCAAATATAAATGCTTTTTTTTTTAGCTCAAATGACAAAAAATAAAGAGAATATGATCTAGAGCAATTGAAAATTCGAGATTATGTATTTAGGCAGATTTTTTCGACGACACTGTCAACATTTCTTGATATAAAAACCAACATTATGTTCATATCAATATATTACTTTAAAGTTAAGTGTTTTACCTACCAAGATTAGAATCACAGCCACCTTCAACCAAGTGATACGACAAGAGAGCATACAAGGCAGCTTGAACAAACAACTTCATCTTCTTGATCTTTATACTTGAGTTTATAAAAAAAAAATTAAACAAACAAAATATAAAAATACCCCGTTGCTGACCTTATACAAATACATAGTATACATATAAAGGTAAAAAAACTGCCAAAAAACAATGATGACAAATGAATAATACATGAAAAGTAAAACAGACTTTCTAAAACCATGGGAACGTGAGAACAAAAGACCACACCTACCATCAACAACCGAATAATATACGTTCAAACAAAGACAAACAAAATCGAATAACACATAATTATGGAAGCCTCATTTGGTACAAGCATAACATTTGGTATGGTTAAACTGGTTTTACGTCTTTTTTACTTAAATCAGGGAATTTAAATATCGTAAAGTAAATGACACATTAAAAAAAACTGAAAAGCTAAGCTACCTACAGGATATAAATTAAACAGTGTAATACAATAATTGATATCATGGTCACACTTGATCAGTACCACAAAAAGCTAGCTAAGCCACATCTGTAGGGTAAATACTGACGCCCAAGAATGCACTCCCTCCCGAACAAGAAAGGAAAAAAAAACCGGAAACAACACTCCTAAAACGTTTTATGTAGTCTCATAATTAAAATTAATCAGACTCGACAGCATTTTTGATAGGCCAGTACGGATTTGGAATTGTAAGAAAGAAACCCAATTGTCGTTTTGATAACCTTATTATCCATACATTTCAGTATATTACCACTTAAATGAAATACCACTAAAATGTGAGTAAAGGATGCAAATTGTTATTTCTTGCTACCTCATACAAAAATTGTCATTTCCTGTTACCTCATACAAATATAAAAACCATTCTTGGTGTATTGAATAATCAATCAAATGTGCTTTTTCGGCTGTAACATTTAACATACGGGACAAGCAAAAAGTTGCTACTGATGTCATGTCCGATTGAGTTAAAAAACAAATGCTTAAAATCGGATATTTTCAATATTTAACAATAATGTTAATGTCTTACAAATATGTCATGTTTGAGTTTTACAAGAGAGGCAAAAGATAACAAAGGGACATTAAAAAAAAGTCGAAAATAAACTGACAACGCCATGGCTAAAAAAGAAAAAGACAAACAGACAAACAATAGTACACAAAACACAACCTAGAAAACTAAAGACTGAGCAACACGAACCCCAACAAAAACTGTGGGTGTTCTCATGTGCTACGGAAGGGTAAGCAGATCCTGCTCCACTTGTGGCACCCGTCGTGTTGCTCATGTTAGTACAAACCCGGTAAATAGTCTAATTCGGTACGTCACGTTCAGGAACTCGTGATGGCGTCCGTAAAACTTACAAAGGGATGATTTCAACTTCCTCACTTGGAACTCTTGGTTTGATAGCTTCCTTGTGAGCATCAACCCTCTATCAAGGAAATCATGATAGGAAATACAAGCCATTGAGTATCGTATCAACTGGGAGATATATACTCCTTATGCAGGCGCTGCTGGAATGTTGCTACATAAAAGTGGAAAGTTCACAATTGGGAAGCGGAAATCATCTCTTTTATCATAAAGTTTTGTTTTCAACCGACCCTCATTAGCAATATCTAGATGTAAGTCAAGATATGAGGCAGACTTAACTGTATCTGTTGTATCCTTTATCTCAAGTTTGATGGGATAGATGCGTTCAACATAGTCACCAAATTTTGAATTATTTAGTGAGAGTACATCATCTATGTAGCGGAAAGTAAAGTTAAAGGATACTGACAACTTCTTTTTTTCTTCCTAAGAAGTTCCTGTATGAAGTCAGCCTCATATGAATAAAGGAACAAGCCGGCAAGAAGAGGGGCACAATTGGTTCCCATGGGAATGCCGATTGTTTGTTGAGAAAAACACGTCATCCAAACGTAACAAATATGTTGTCAATCAAGAAATCAAGCATCTTGATAATGTCAGTTTCAGAGAATGTTTTGTTAGAATCAGAGTGATTTTTTACAAAGTAGGATTTACCCCTTCCTAAGACAAGATACTTGTATCTACGTTGGCCATTCTTTTTTATGTAATAAAGTAGGACCAACTCTTTCAATTTGTCTTTTAGTTTGGAATGGGGAAAACTTGTGTACAGTGTAGAAAAATCAAATGTTTTAATACTACTGCAAGATGAAAGAGTCTTAGATTGTATGACCTCTAAAAGAATTTTTTAGTATCCACATCTGATTCAAACCACCTCTAGAATAGATAGTTTCACAATATCTTTGAAGCCCAGCTTTAATTGCTGATAAAACTGATGTTAATAATTTAAATAGAGGTTTCGTGGATCACTTGGAAGACCCAGCAATATATCGTTTTTTGTAAGGACACTTATGTAGTTTAGGTGTCCAATACAGTGATGGAAGATCCAGTTCTTCATCTTTGGCTGAAATTCCAAAGGAACATAGAACAGACCTATGATTATCCAGGATTTCCTCTTTAGTAAGTGTCGTGGGGGTATATGTTGAGTTTCCAAATGAATTTTCAAAACCTAATTCACTTATCAAGTAGTTTATGTAATGTGATTTACACACAAAAACGATGTTGTTTGGGGCTCTATCTGCGGGGACAACAACATATTTGTCATGGAGGTAGGACAAGTGTTTAGCAACATTTGGGTCTTTAAAGATTGATGTAACATGGGTATTAATAGACCCATTCAGTTTCTTAATTCTGATTTGTATTAACGACCTTACAGCCTTAATCCATTCGGAAAGAGTATCTACGTCTTCTTTCTCGCGTTTAGCCCATTGCCTGGTATAATCCTCGACTGAATCAATCAGTATTTTGAAGAGGTTTTTACAATTGATGGATTTAGGCTCACGATATTTCGGGCCTTTGGATAACACATTTCGCAGAGAAGTGTTATTGACAATGGTTTGGTCACCAGTAATAACGTGGCCAGTCGGATATATATGAATGGGGAATTAGCACAGGTGCAATCAGAAGGTTTAGACTTGAAGTCTTCAATATTGAGATCCTGTAACACGTGTTTGTAATTGAAAATTTTAGTTGCAATTGGTTTGGTATAGGTATACGAAATGATAGGTACAGACTGATCTTTAAAATAGGGAGGTATTTTCGAGTGAACTGATTTATGATGGAGGATATTGCCCAAGTTGATGGCATCGAGACCTTGTTTGGCAAAGGAAAGTTTAAGAAAGGATTTTTTCTCTTTTTCATCTTTTCCAATGCGAACTGGTTTGAAAGTCTGTGACTTGCAATATCCGAAATGATTGTAAGTTTATATTGGTTTGAATGAGGGTTTGCAACAATGGTTTCTAAACATAAGTTGTATAGAGAAAGACGTTTTGAAAGAGGTATCTGAGTGGATGCCTCGTTTTGCTGGACGTGTCGTGCACGAGGGCATAACCAAACAAATAGTCAGCGGTTCTGTGCTGGCAGGAAATATCATTGATTCGATATCATTCTGTAAATTTACTATGCCTCAGATGTTACAAATGAATGGAAACACTACGATTATTCTACCTCAAGACACAAATGGCTCTCAAATTTTAGAAATTTTGGCTTTCAACGTTTTTCAACATCGTTATTGCTTTGCATTCCAACTTGTCTGTTTCGAGACAACTGGCCAATTGCTCGTTTGGTGTACTTAATTATAAAACTTGTATTTTTTTAATGAATTTCCTTATACTAGACTGACACGTTAACTTGGATTTCCAAGGTGCTAGCTTTGAAGTGAATAGTTAAAAATAAGAAATTTCGGCCTACCTATTATTCTAACAAAATCCGACAATACGTAGTTTTCACTTCTATGTTTTACATACATAGCGAAGAAGCAACACCTACCAGTTTTAAAGTCTTCGTTTTGACGGGTCTATGATAGAATCCACACAATGAAGCACCCTGGATGTGCAAGCTGTCATGAGATCGCTGAGTAATTACTGATAATTTTGGAGGAATGATGGTAGCATAAACTGTTGACATAGTGATATGTTGCCGTGTGTAATATTGATAGTAAAATGCAAATGTTGAAATCGAAATAACAATACTTCAACATGTAAAATATGCAAAATATTCAATGTAAATGAACTATGACTAGCGGTACGGGGCAAATAAGCATATGTAGAAATACGATATGCCAATGATAATACAAGTGCATACTAAATATCGTTGACTTATCATAAGTGATTTTCCATTGAATTGACCATATCACAAACTTTAACATGTAAACTATGCAAAATTCCGAAGGCAATAGACCATGACTAAGGGCAGATCCAACAAATCTCCATTGAAATGAGATGTGCCAATGCTTATGCAAATCAAATGCATACCAAATATCCTTGACTCATCATTAGTTGTTCCCCTTAAATTGATCCTATCACAAACTTTAATATTTAAACTTCGCAATTTTTTAAAAGTAAATAGACAATAACTGAGGGGGTGCAAATAATCTCCATGCCAATACTTATTCAACTGCATACCAAATATCATTGATTTACCATTAGTTGTTCCTCTGTAACTGATCTTATAACAGACTTTTGCAAATTGTTGATAACACCGCCTTCGCCGCTGCAGGACGCAGCACGCATAAGTCTTGTTTTTTTACTCCGTCAGAGAAAAACCAAATAAAGTACACAAAAAGACGAATTAAATTTAATAAAACATGTTTTTTGGACGTGCCGAATCTTTCAATTGGAAATAAATAAATTAATGCATTACTGTACAAAACGTTCCACTTCATCTATCGAAAAAATAAACAATAAATTATCCCCGATGTTATCAATGTTTTCATAACGAAGGGAATTTCCATCCAAATTATATTTTGAAAGTTTGCATTTTAGTTTTTAATAATGATTAAGAAACCACATATATTCTATAACATAACAAGAAAACGAAAATAATACTTTATAAATTCCGTGCGTCCGAAGCGCTTTTCCTGTATTTTCATCAGGACGCTCAAATCTACCATTTAAAATCCAGGGATGTTAAAATGCATAGAAACGTTAGAGTCTGTATGACCTAAATAGACTGAAAAAGAAGAGCCCAATTCATCTAAGGTCTACTTTGCCTGATGGAGCTGGAACCTTACTTTTGTTAAACAATTTCTTAATTTATCAACGGAGAATTTTAGAAATGTATGTTATAAATCATGTCAGGACCGAAGCACTGACTACTGAGCTGATGATACCCCAAAGGACTAACAGTCCACCAGCAGAGGTATCAACCTAGTGCTTCTAAAAGAAAATAACCTTTTTTAAATTTTGTGCGTCAAACATAAACATTTAAAAGCGAGGGATGAAAAATACTTAGAAGTTACGTACCTTTAACAGACAACAGCAGAAATCGAGCGAGATGATGTGCCTGTTCGTATGAATTAGTATCACGTGTATTGTACAAGATTGAAAATTACATTTGCGGTTGAAATATGCGTCTGAATCATATATGTAAGTTATAAGTAATCGCAACAGACTGTTATCAATTTCCGTCATTACGAATTTACGTAGCGTAGTGAGGAAACTAAAAACATATTTTCTTGTAAGTAATATACGCTTTATATTACACAACCTTGAAAATGAAATAACACTTTATAAATTTCGTATGGCCGAGGCGTTTTTTCTGGGTTTACTTTCATCAGGAATGTTAAAAACCAGTCATTTGAAAGCGAGGGATGTAAAAATACGCAGAGGTGTTAGAAGCTATATGACCAAAAAGGAACCTTAAAGGAATAGCCAAATCCAGCTAAGGTCGACTTTGCCCGAGAGAGTCGGAACCTAATTTTCTTTGCAATTTCTTTATTGGTCAACGGGAAATTTTAGAAACACATGTTAAAAAAGATGTCAGTACCGAAACACTGAAACTATATTAATCAACTTTATCGCAAATTGATGTCGACGAAAACGTGACACTCAGTGCAGTCGTAGATAATTGCAATACAACAATTTTAGTACAAATATTGCAACTTTTTTGTGTTTTGAACAAAAAATTGCATCAAAGATTGCCAAAACCATTTTTTTTTTCTGAAAGACAGATGATAGATTTACTTAACTGGGAATTTTGTTTTTGTTTACTAGTATTTGATATTAAATACCGAAATTTTGCCTAAATGTTTCATATATATTTAACCCCTCCCTTCATTTTGAGTATTCCTGAGAATTTGTTTTGACAGCTACCGAACTGTATTTATACGAGAAAAGATACCAAAGATAGTCTCTATTAGATCAAACATGGTGATCATATCTTTGAAGCTAGTAAATATACAAAACTTATCATACAATTATATAGTTTTCCCGAAAAAAACGTGGTTTGTGAATCAGCTATTTTTTCCATGAAGTAATAGATATGCTTTCCTGCCAACTTGTCAATTACACTGATTTTTAAAGTGACACTTAATTCTGGAGAATGTTTGAATTACGAATAGGTTTTTAATTAAATCAGGTATAGAAAAAAATCGAATAAACAAAAGAAAGGGTATATAATTCTTATCGATTGAGATTAAAACTGAAAAATTCACAATTATGTGATACTTCACAATTTATCCATTAAATGAATTGCACAGGTTAATTGACAGTATAAATTCTGCTTTATTTATTCGGCAAATTGTAGGTTTTGTCGAATATACAGATCATGGTATCTTTGAGGAGTTTTTAAAATGTACCTGCGTTTTTCAAAAGTTATGAAAAGCCTGGTACTGTTGACAATTTTTTACAATATATTTGCATTAATGTTTTGATGTACTCTTTACGACAGAACTTAAGCTGGTATAAAGTAATGTCTTAGTAATCTTAAACAAAAATGAATAGATAAAACAAAAACATAAATCTTCTTTTGATTATTTCGTAACTACTACCTGAACTGTTAAGTTATTAGAACCCAAAGTTTATTCGTGGAATTGCGGTCTTTTAAACTGAGCCAGGTGGGAGTTTGATTCAGAAACAAATCAATAACAAACATAATTTGAATAAAATCAACAATTTAACAAATAACCAATTCTTTTAGACTTGCATAAAAATGATAGTAGGAACAATAATAATAAAAACAAAAATAATCATGATAACTATAACAAATGTAAGCCTCTAATTTTGTGTTTGTTTAAGGAATAAAACCACTAAGTCATAGCCCCATTGCTTTCTATGTAAAATTCTGCAATTTCATGGCTACTTTGTCTTAGGTTCAAATGAAGTGGTAGTCATTTCATGTCAAAACTGTACCTCATCCTTAAATTGCATGTAAGAGGGCACTGGTTTTCGGAAATTTGGTAGTACAAAAACAGGTACATCTGATCTGAACAACATTGTAAATGTGCCCTCCTTTTTTAATTTCATATATTTTTTTATCATTCAAATGAAACTTTCAAGAAAGTTTCTATAGTGATCTCAAGCCCTTAGGCTTCCATTTGAAAATATGTACTACTTTCTTGTATGTTCTTTCTGACCGGGCCCGAATTAGTGGTTCTTTACCTATAACAGCACCAAACCTGTTATATTGACTTCTGCTTTACTTATTTTCCTTTTATGATCTATTCCTAGCATAGAAAACACATAAAGCTTTTGTCGAAACACTATATTACTGAATTCAAGCTCAAATTAGACTGGTAGTAACATATGCGTTATACAAAGAAAACTCCATATGGATAATAATAGTGACCAATATGAGAATTTTTCAATTATTTCCATTTCTTATTTGTTAGGCGGGACTTCAGCTTGTTTACATTATATACTTAAATGTTATTGTATGTTAAGTATAATGCAGAGTATAATGTATACAAGCTGAAGCCCCACCTATCTATTGATTGCAGAGGTCAATCTTAATTACGAATGCTTGAGCAAACATTTATACAAAAACAAAGCAAGCAAGCCAACCAAACCTTTTAACTACAAGCATTAGGAAAATAGCTCTAATATATACTCAAATAACAATGTTCTTACCCATATGTTTTATTTTTATCAGAGATTGTTCATTAAATATAAATAGAGTTGTCCAAACATAAAATATAATACATAATTCTGTCCCCTCTTTTTTACATGTTGGAAAAGGAGTGTGTTTTGATAAAAACATACTTTTATATAAAAACATGGATCAGCAAGAGCAATTTAAGTATCTTCCAGCTAGACAACTTGCTAAACTTGTTGAAAATTGCATTTCAAATGAGATTTTAGAATTCCTATATAAGTATATACCAATTTCCTTTAGAAATAAATGATACACTAAGAAACCAAATAAAACATGAAAACTCTCTAGATAATTTGACCAAAAGCTATATTCTTACTACAAACCAGTCATCATATACATGTTTCATTGATTTCATTATTAAATAATGCAAAAATTTAAACTTCAGATTAAGTCTTAACTGTGTGCATGCTAAATGCCCCAAAAAGGCTGTAATACCCTATTGTAGCAATTTGAGGGCTGTAATTTGACACCAACATAATTGATACATAAAAAAATAATGCAACATGATAACAAACAATAAATGTGACCAATTTTCATTGTAATGGGTATGATTTCTAAAATTTGAATTTCACATGCCTTTAAGTAATAGGAATAAAACCACTAATTCATAGCCACATTGCTTTTTATGTTAAATTCTGCAATTTCAAGCATTAATGGCTACTTTGTCTTAAGTTCAGATGAAGTGGTAGTCATTTCATGTCAAAACAGTACCTTATCCTGACTTGTGCTGAAAAATTCAACATACCTTTAATTGCGTATAAGAGCGCACTGGTTCCTGGAAGTTTGGTAGTACAAAAAGAGGTACATCTGATCTCGACAACATGGTAAATGTGCCCTCTTTTTATAATTTGATATATTTTTGTATCATTCAAATGAAACTTTCAAGAAAGTTTCTAAAGTGATAACAAGTCCTTAAGCTTCCATTTGATACCAAAATTACACAAATATTTTACTTATTGACAAAGTTACAGCTATGCATAGGAACTATTTTGTTTAAAATATGTACTACTTTCTTGTATGTTCTTTCTGAACGGCCAGAATTAGTGGTTCTATACCTATAAACAGTATCCATTCTTTGTACGTTTTTAAAGCACAATTAATATAAAGCCTTTTAATTCGAGCTCTTCTGATAAGTATTATGTAGATGAAACTTGTGTGTTGTGTACTAAATAAAGCCTGGCGATGAGTTTTTACCCGCGTATGGACGAATTTTATCAACACAATCTAAAATGCCTCTTAAATCTGTCCTCAATGATGCTATTTGCCCAGCAGCCTTAAATTTGGAACTGTCACGTATACAATCAAACATTTCCGGCCTTCAAAATATTTAAATCCTGTAAAACTAAAGTTAAAAATGTTCAGACATTACTTTTAAAGCTAACAAACCAAACATTTTAAAATACATTGATTTTTTATCAATATTGATTGTTTCTCCAATTCAATTTTACTTATTTTCGTCGTTTGTTTTTGCTAGTGTTTAATGCAATAATTATTAATAAAAGAAGGCATTGTCTGCACACAAATGTTTGTTATCAAATTGTTCGTTTCTATGTATGTTGGCGTTTGTTTTTGTTGCAGTTCAGTGTTTCTGTTGTTCCATTGTTTTCCTCTTACAAAATTGAGAATGGAAATGGGGAATGTGTCAAAGAGACAACAACCCGACCATAGAGCAGACAACAGCCGAAGGCCACCAATGGGTCTTCAATGCAGTGAGAAACTCCCGCACCCGGAGGCGTCCTTCAGCTGGCCCCTAAACAAATATGTATACTAGTTCAGTGATAATGGACGTCATACTAAACTCCAAATTATACACAAGAAACTAAAATTAAAAATGATACAAGACTAACAAAGGCCAGAGGCTCCTGACTTGGGACAGGCGCAAAAATGCGGCGGGTTAAACATGTTTTTTGAGATCTCAACCCTCCCCCTATACCTCTAGCCAATGCAGAAAAAACAAACGTACAACAGTACGCACAGTAAAACTCAGTTTAAGAGAAGTCCGAGTCCGATGTCAGAATAGGAAACAAAAGAAAATAAACAAAATGACAATAATACATAAATAACAACAGACTACTAACAGTGACTGACATGCCAGCTCCAGACCTCAATTAAACTGATTGAAAGATTATGTCTTCATCATATAGTTGATGTGTTTCCCTCTGTTTTGGTTTGTGACCCGGATTTTGTTTCTCGCTTAATCGATTTATGACTATTGAACAGCGGTATACTACTGTTGCCTTTATTTACAACAAATATTAGCTAAATTTTTATTACATTAAAGTCATATGAAACTTCTAATTTAAAAAAAAGTTGACTATGTTTTATATACTTTAATGGCTAAGTTTTACTATATAGCAAGTGTACGTGAACTTTTTGGCAAAAGAAAATCCTTTATATTATCAAAATCTTCACAGATAAACTGCTATTGAATTATTGTCTTCTCGTACTCTAATTCGCCGATATTTTTCCGTATGCATTGACCGTTACTACGAGACCTCTCGTTAGAACTTCGGCCACCGCACATCGCAACTGCGTGGGCAAAGCCGTGATGAAAGAATGTAAATAAAACGTGCACTGGAAAGTATTTAGTAATAACTGATTCTTAAAGAACAAATTAAATACCAAAAATCATTTAACAACTGTAAAAGAAAAATGTAATCAACAAAAGGAAACGCATGGAAAATATATCATGGCTCTATCAATTCACTTAGTTTTCAGTGCTTCACTTGCTCTGTGTTGATTGTTTATCAATGGCACGATCCAGTAAACTTTGGCAACAAATGCAAAAGTTAATTTGCTTGCGATCAACAATCACTGAATGAAATATTACTTGTCGATAATACGTTATAGATTCGTAATAAATGTTGAAATCATGCATACAGGACTTAGTTTAGTATATATGCATGCATTGGTCTAACAAGTCCAAATAACAAAGATGCAAACACACAATTTATTGTCGCCATACGGTCTTTATTATGAGCATATATTCTACATATACAAATGTATTCTATATGAAAATAAAGTATAAATATTCTATGCTCGATCGATTTTCATTAACCCGTTTTTAAACTGCATTACCTTTGCATATTAAACATTTTCGTTCAAAGTGGAAGTTTAAATGCTACCATGTCAACACAATAACAAAATAAAGAAGACTGGTTAGTGTTTTTATTTAGAGTAGACCCATATTCCGAAATTCTGAAGAGGACTACCAAGGGCAAATTCATATTGATTTACAGATTTTGTTAGAAAAAGGTGGTTATAGTCGTATTCCGTGAACACCTGCCACGTAAGTACAATTTTAACATCCAACCTCTCTCCTCTATCAGAACACTCAGATGACAAACTAAAAAAAAATCCATTCAAATGAATAGTGATATTGTTTTGTTATAAATTAGGCCGTTAGTTTTCTCAATTGAATTGTTTCATATTTTTCATGTCGGGGCCTTTTATAGCCGACTATATGGTATGGGTTTATCTCATTGTTGATGGCCACTTCATTTGAACTTTGGTGGATAGTTGTCTTATTGGCAATCATACCACATCTCCTATTTTCATAGTGATAGCTTGATTGATAAAGTGAGTTTTGGTTGACGATACAAACTTTTTAAACCCGACCTCTTGTATATATAAATACGATTATAATTTTCAATTTCAGACTATCCTTTAACTGTTTACTTTTACTTTTACTTTCTATTTCAATACAAATTTAACTTATTAGACTTGATTTGCTTACTCTATTGCTTAGTAGAAATATTGTAAATGGGGTGCAATTTTACCGAGGTCACGGAATAGTTGAACAATACTGAATAATTTTAGGGATTATTTATTTACCTTCAATAAAAAAGAAGGTTTTAAGGGGCCATTACAAGCAATAAGTCGAAGACAAACAGGCATCACCATGGCCGAATGATTAAAAAGATGACCAGACAAACAACAGTCTGCAAACCACAATTAGGAGTAACTAAAAAATGAGCACAACTTATGATGCCATGGGTTAATATAAGGGAAGTAAAATCCAAATACTACGATAGAATATTCCGAAATGTTCTGAAACTTTAGATTCAGAATATGTAAAAGGATTAAAGATGACGATGAGGGCAATATTGACAAAAAAATCGGTCGATCCAATCCGAACACAATTTTGACGGAAATGGTACACGTCTCAAAATGTATTTATGTACACGACACAAGCGTGCTAAATAAAGAGTTAAGATTTGATTTGTTTTCTATTTGCGATCTTCTATGATAAGGTTATCCATTTGGACGATTTTTTAAAGGTGTGGAAGGTACCAAGGGGGACATTTAAAACTCATTGGACGAAGAAAAGCTGGCAACGCCATGGCAAAAAAACCAAAAACAACGAAAATATGAATAAATTCACAAAATACTACATAGAAAACTAAAAAGTGAGTAACACGAACCTCTCGATAAACCGGGGTGAACCCGGATGCTTCGGAAGGGTAAGCAGTTCCTGTTTCATATTTGACACCCGTCGTGTTGTTCATGTAATTACAGATCCGCTGACAAGTCTCATTTTGACAAATTGTGTTGTAAAAAGGGAATTTGATATTCTTAAACTTCGGATACTTATACACGTACTTCGGAAACATTTTTTACCCCAGATTTGTTACATGGAGTGCATTACAGTTTTTTTCGTAACATCTATTTTTAGCACTGAAATGGTGAAGAAGCCTAAAATAGCAGAAATAGACAATACCTTATTATAAGGGCATAACATGGATGAAGACATACACTCTTCGTTCTTAAAGCGAGCCTTCCCACCAGGTTTATAGGATGCAGTTACTTCCATAGAGACGAAAGTTGTTCGTATAACAGGTACATCTAAATTACTGATATGTAACTATGCCATGTCTGTTTTTATTTGTTTGTGTCAAGTGAAATTCCCAAACCTATCAGTAAGCTAGCAAGGAAGTGACAAAAAACCGCACACACAAAACCATAAACTAAACATGCCATAATGTGTCAATAAAAATCATACCAGGAAGTAGATACAAAATAAAGGGTAACAAAAACACAAATTTGGCCTTAAAAGTTCTATTAAATTCAACAAAGTTGAGTTGGAATATATGTTTAAGGAGCGGACTGAAGTTTAATATATCTGCCGAAATAAGCTAGGGACCAACAAAAGAATTATAAAAATGTTGCCATCCTTGCCATTTATTTTTATCAATGCGGATTTCGTCCAATATAAAATAAAAATCGGTAATGAAGGAATTTTCTTATCGGAATTCTTCACTTTGTTTGGTTACAAACATGTCGGATGGTAATCTTTGTTGAAGTTTAATCTGTTATTACTTGATGTTGCAGAAAAAATTAAGGTGAAGTGAAGGGCTCTCCGTAAACATAACGAAGTCCCAAAAAGATAATTCTTATCCTTTTAATTTCATTGTGGCCAATGATTAGAAGTATAATATTGGGTACGAATTTAGCGAGCAAAGCAATTTTTTAACACGGACATTCTTTATTGTAATATTAATTGCATAAAAAAGTCCTTTTAGTCACATTTTTTAATAGTAATGTGTGTTCTTCAAATGTCATGGTGTGGACAGTAGTAGGGTCGCATATTCAGAAAAGCTGAATTATACGAACATTTTTAGTAACTTGTTCTAAGCTTACTCTTTTTTATATTAACTGTATATGCTGAATAAAAAAAAAAAACAATGCTGACAAGGCGATGCATGGATGTTTCACAATTTACTGTCATTGTTAAGCTGCTAATCAAATAACAAGTCATTCGTGTTTACGTTACTGAAAAAAGTGTGACAAAAATATTTGTTGGACAAACAGACATACAGACAGACGACCGGACGGACATACCAAGTTACATTTTGTAAACATTTAAACATTATTTGGACACGTATTTAGTAATACAAAGATACTAAAATGAAATTTTGCCCCTTCATTTTAAAAGAGAAAGCCAAATAATATTATATTTAATTCTGCCCTTTTTCTAGATGATATCTAAGTTTCAATTTCAGGTTAAAGTATAGTAATTTTTTTTATAAAGGTGTTAGATAAAACATCTCTGCGTACTCTTTTTACATTGTAGGACCGTCGGAGGATTTAGACGACTACTCGAAAAGATGGCTAACTGTTGGAATTTGTTTGCACACTGTAATATCTCCTGTTCTAAGAGAGTATATTTTACCCATTCTTATAAAGCTTTATTACCGCTTAACAAGAAAATACAAGATTGACAAACAAATTTATCCCTACATAAAAACATACTTGTCGGGGACAAATCTAAATTATGAGACGATAAATAAGAATAATGATATCTTTGGAAAAAGTACTAAACTTTATGATTTCCGAGTCAAAAATCCTCTGGATTTATCCAAGCTATTTCTTCAAACACACATGGCAAAGTACCAAGGTATAGACGATTCATGCGATTCATCAGCTCTCCTTGGGATAATTATTAATATCGACGAGTTTCCTGTAGCGGTGCGTTCAAAAGCTGAAATGGTAGGTATTAATTGATTATGAATATTATTACTGTATAGCAATACTCCCTGTTGAACCATAATTTAACGTGTATTATTCATCTTTATTTTGATATCGCTCTATTGATACTTTGTTAACTTTGATATATATATATATATATATATATATATATATTAAATTTTTGTAATGTTTAGCAATACAATACATGCACGAGTATTGATACTATCATCACATGTATGGTGTCCTGGTAGATAATAGTTTGCTTTTTCTGTTATTTTAGTGTTTATTACTTGATTTGTTATTACCTGCGCCTTTCAAATCTTCCAAGTTTAGTGTCCTAAATTGCAAAATTTTCACTGAATCATCGAGACTTATTATTTCATGTTCACGTTTAATTCTTGTGTTAGTTGTAATAACGAACTATTTCTTAATTAAAAAAGTGGGGGTAAATAAATGAATCTTTTGAAGCTAATATTGACTATTGTCTATTGATATATTAATACTTTATATTAATTTTTTCGAATCATGGATTGGTGGTTGTTTGGTAACATAATGCACATGCTTTGCAATAGTTGGAGTGAGAGACAAAACTCATAAGTCCAAGTCAAACAAACAACGCCAAATAAAAAAAAAACGACGAAGAGACAAACAACGGTCATCAAAATACAACATATAAAATTAATGACAAAGCAACACGAAACCAACCAAGCTAGATATATATTTTACTTTTACGGTGTCGATGACGTCGTCTTCATGAATGTGGTAGTGTTGTCATTAACACGTTACTTTACTATTTTTGTGAATGGGTCAATTTACAAAAAACTTCGGAAACTGTAAATTTAGAATTGATTGCGATTTTTGAAGAATTAACAAAAATGAGAGTTTAATATTTGCGATTTTAGGAAAAGATACATCGATATATGTATTTGATATCAGAAAGCTTGTTCTTATTATTGCCATACTCAAGTAGTCGCATTATTCGCATTATAAAAACCTCGCAATAATTTATGAATTTACAGTATACACTATTGGTTATATCTATACGATTGACTTATATATGCAACTTTCTAGCAAAATGTATCCATTCAGCATATGTTACCTTTTCCATGCAGTCAGTGTACAATAACTTAACTTTTTACTTACTTAAGATTTTAATTTTCTTAAAATACATCAACATGCAAGTTAATAAGATGAGTATTTGGATATTTCATTGACATGTACCATGCTATTACATTAACACCAATTCATGTTTTTTTCCTTTTTTAGCTGAAATAGTAACTTAAATGCTATATTTTGGATACACTTTCAGATTCGATCCAACATCAGAAATCCGTGGGCGCACTGTAACTTCCAAGAATGGGATAAAGGAAAATTTGCAACATCATTTACAGAGATGGGAAATTTTATTAGCAGTCTAGATCTGAAAGCATCTGTAAAACAGTCCACTTTAGACGAGATTACAAAATGGGAAACCAATGGTATATGAAATAAGTTTAATCAAACAAATTGAAATAACAAAAAAGACACCATTTTCTCTACGTACGCACTAATTTCTTTGTAACCGTTATTAATGGGCTATTTGCAGTAATTTTGCACATTGGTGGTAAAGATTATTTGTAAAACATACTTAAGAAATATTGAAAAAAAAACCATGTCTAATGATTGATGTATACTATAAAAGAGGAAAGTACGATGCACGGTCGTATTGGTACTAAACACAAATTATTGATTGTTTGACTCAATAATATTGAGAATTGATAAAGAGTGCAGCCCTCGCCAAAAACGTATTCAAAGAGAAAATGTATTTTATACCAAAATTAAAGGAATAGTTAATGGGCAAATTGAGTAAGATTTTGCATACAACTTGAAAATGTTAAACTCTAATGAAATAATAGATATGTTATTACTTTTGCTTTCTGACATATAATTAGTGAACTCAAATTCTTGAAATAGTTGCAAAGTTATAGAGAATGCACGTAAATCTGGAATATACTATCCAAAAATACACCCAAAATTCTCATTTCTCCATTATCACTTCATAGATTTTTCTTTAAATCAAAAAAATGTTGTCAAGAGAATTTCCGATTTGTTGACTTAAACAATCATACTTGAATGATAATTTGTTTTGTGTCTGTATACATTATTCAAAGTGGTCTTCATAATGAAAAAAAATCTTCCAAGACATCAACATAAGTGTAATGTTGAAAGTGCTGTAAATCCGAAGACAAAATGTTTTGTCATTTTTCGGTACAACCACATTAATAGAATATTAAATATTTTGAACCGTAAGTCGGTAACCCCTTAATAATCTTATATTAATTAAACAGAAATTAGCAAAGGAAATATATATCTATTTTAATCTAAAGATTGGATTTGGAGTTATGATGAGTTTTAGACAATTCTTACATATTTTCCCCGATTTTACGTGCATTCTTTACAACAGTGCGACTAATTTTGAAAATGTTCATTTAATATGTTAGAACAGAATAGAAATATATGGATTTACATTTCATTCTAGTTAAATTTTTACTTTTTTTTAGAGACTAATCAATTTGTATTTTTATGATTTCACATTATGCACGTCTTTTAACGTAGCTAATTATATATAGATATGCACAAAACTTTCACAGTATATATCAACAGATGAAGTATTCACTGGAAAGAGTAAAATCTACAGAAATGTCGCCATGCGACGTCCACAAAAAATCATTTAAAGTCAAAGTTTTACAAATGAGCAAATAAAATATGTTGCAATCATCCATTTCTTAAAAAATGAATAGTAAGCATGGACTAACGTCAAATTGTTCTAAATATTGGAAGAAATAAAACAAAACATCTGTAATACGATTTTTAAGGATGTGAATTTAAGCATGGATGCAATTTGGGTACTCCTCATCAATTGATCGTTTGGAGGTCAGTTCAAACCCATTTTTCTATGATTCCAAACTAAATTGGTGGAACTATATAGTAAATAAGGATACATCTACAAAATAAACCGAGAATGGAAACTTTCGTCTGAATCATAAATAAACTGTCAAAATAGGTGCAATTTGGGTACCCAACATGACGTTGTCAGTTTATTTTCGACTTATGAGTTTGAATGTCCCTTTGGTATCTTTCGCCTCTCTTAAACTGACGTCTTCATGAATTAATTTCGGAGCGTATGTGCGTTTAAATGCTTAAATAACTCGCTCGTTACGTTGCTCAAGGTATACGTGATATGATGTTCAGAGTGGACAATGATGTTTAGTCCCTTAAACATTGAAAAATTGCAACCAATCAAATATTTATTTAGCTATCAATATTTACATACAGTGCAATAAAACTAATGTTATTTAATTTGTGAGGTTGCTTTTTGTAAAAACCCATTTCGAAGTTGGCTAGATCGTTTTGAATTAAAAGGTGTTCACCTCTCATGTTTTCAATCTTCTTCTCCATATCTGTTAATAAAAATGTTTCCAGGACAACTCATGTGTTTTTTAACACCTTATTCCTGATACACACTTCTGCTTAACCATTGTCAAAATTATTCAAAAAATATTTTTCACATAGTTTAACTCTCATTTCTGCAAATAAAAGAAATTCTTGTGAAAATTAGAAACAACTTTTTCCACGAAAATATCCATCTTTTGTCGACTGTAGCTTAGAATTAAGCACTCAGAACTATCATGATTTTTTAAAATACTTTTTTTTATAATTATACAAGTCACTTTTCTATTAATAAAGACATTATTTATGTTGTATTCTGTTTTTGGTTTTTGCGGAGAACATCCTTAAAATACGATATTGAAATGTTTTTCAAGTAGTAATCTAGATTTTGATAAAATAGAATAACGCATAGAAAAAAATAAATGTTGTATTTATTAGGGGCATTTAAGCTTAACGAACTTACCAAATTGCATTCATTTGCTCAATGTTAAATTTGAAGCTGATAGACATGGACAATCGACGTCCGCTAGACCGTTGATATTGCGGAAAGAATAACTAAGCTTCAAATATAAATGATATTGCCATTTTTGTTTCTTTGCAGATACCAAGTTTTTAAAAGGCACTATCCTGGGTCTAGAATTGATTAAAGAAATTCGTCAAGAGACGAGTGTCTTAGCAAAATATGCAAAAGTTTTGAAATTCATCCTAGAGAATGAAATAGAAAAGAGAGATGCAACTGACAAAGTGATACAAGATGAACTAATGACCCTGAACGAAAAAATCAAAGACATTAACCAACGTCAAGAGGAAATAATCCCAAAACATATACGAGGTATTAGAAATACGAAAACAAATATAAAGGAAAATAACACTTTATAAAATTGTTGCATAATTACAGCATAACAAGTCAGAAAAGTGTTACCGTCCGTTATTTTCTGTTAGAACACACAAGCTTTCTACCTTGCGTAGACACGAGGATAATATATTTTAATGTTTGTCTTCGAAATAATACGTTTTGGAGATTAAAACGCACTATCAGTTGAAATGTTTCTCACATTTCTGATGAATATGCTATACTAATAGTGTAAAATTGTGAAAAAATAATAACTGGCAAATCGAACTTTTCTTTTCATTGATGAAAATAAATTGAACTCGTCCAGTGTCAAGTTTGATGGTCAATTTAATATCTGTAGACTTGTGTGTAAAAAGATTTGTGTGCAAATTAACTTGTTTTCAAATAACATTTTTTTATCAACAAGATATAAAAAAAGAGTAAAATAACAAAAAATACCGAATTCCAAGGAATATTCTAATCGGAAAGTCCCTTAACAAATGGCAAAGTCAAAAGCTCAAAGACATCAAACGAATGGAAAACTACTGTCATATTCCTGACTTGGTACAGGAATTTCCTTATGTAGAAAATGGTGGATTATATTGTATACTCGCAAGACACAAAGCTTGCGGTATACTCGCAAGAAACAAAGCTTGCGGTATAAAGTAATCACCATGTCCGTCTGTTTGTTTGTCTGTCTCTCCGTCTGTCTGCATGTCCAGCCCGCTTCATGTCCGGCCCATAACTTTTGTATCATTGAACTTTTAAGCTGATCCTGTTAAAACGTTTAAACCCGCTGCATTTTTATGCACCTGTCCTAAACCAGGAGCCTGTTGTTCAGTGTTTGTCGATTGTTGGTTTGGTTCATAGGTGTTTCTCGTTTCTCGTTTTTTTATATAGATTAGATCGTTGGTTTTCTTGTTTGAAATGTTTTACACTAGTCATTTTGGGGCCCTTTATAGCTTGCTGTTCGGTGTGAACCAAGACTCCGTGTTGAAGGCCGTACTTCGACCTATAGTTGTTAACTTTTTATACATTGTGACTTGGATGGAGAGTTGTCTCATTGGCACTCATACCACATCTTCTTATTTGTATTAATATGCAGATGAATCATGGGCTTTAGATGTGTCATATTCCTATACTAAAGGCGGGTCACTTTGTCAATCTTGTTTGATTTGTGTCCTGTAACTTTTGTACCTTAGAACAAAGGTTGATCAAACTTGGTATGGTGATGAATCATGAGATGGGAGTGTATCAAATATCAAAGTGAGGTCACTTTAGCCTTGATTTTGACCTTTTCACATCTGCCATATAGCCATTTCCTGTTTGCTGATAGTTTGAATTTTACATTGCTTACATTGCTTTTTTGTTTTTATCAAAGTTTTCTTGGCATCAGTAAAAGGGAATGATACGTTATGCTCCAGTGAAAATGTTACCTAAATCAATTGCATATAGCAACGCAGGTCCAGACTCTGTATTGGTCTTGTTACGTTCTTAAATACTAAAAGTTCACGTTCAAACATAATACCCGAAGACAAAACTTCAACATGTTAGCAATTAGAAGTGAAGCAATACTAACCCTAACCATTGAAATCACGTAAGATCCAATAACAATGACCACTCCATTTCAAAAATAGTGTTAGGAGTAAAATTGGTTAAGCAAGAATGGAATTCTTGTAATGATGACGAAACAATTAGCACTACTGGAAGAATGCCCCGTAGATTGGCCGTGAAAATGTCCGTAAAATGCTGGTGATTTTTACAGTGTTTGTCACGGTTAATTTACGGTGGGCCGAGAAACTTATCCGTGACAATGTCGTGGAATGACTGTCGTGAAAAGGCTGTGAAAAGTTTGTGAAAAGGCCGTGAAGAGGTGCCACCTGAAAACTTGGGTGAAAAGACCGTAGAAACCCTGTGAAAAAAAATGTACACCGTGAAAAAGTCGTGATAATGCATTATGTGCCCATTGTGAAAAGACCGTGAAATGTAGATATAGTACAGTATATGCCTTTATTTGTCGTGAAAAGGCCGTGAAAAGGTGCCAACTGAAAACTTGGGTAAAAAGACCGTAGAAACCCTGTGAAAAACAAAAATGTACACCGTGAAAAAGTCGTGATAAATTATGTGCCCATTGTGAAAAGACCGTGAAATGTACATGAACTAGTGTGATAAACAGCCATTCACTGATTGTGAAAACTCCTGTAAAATCATTAATGTTAAATGTATTTTTCAGGCCATAATTTAACAAAAAATTTAAATGCTGTTTCAATCAAGTGAAGTGAAATGCCTGAAACCTAGTGTAAACATCTACAGACAACTTATTTAAGTACAATGCAAGTGAGACTATGAAAAACCATATTAAAATGCTGTATTTTTTTTAGTAATAATTGTGACAAAGAATAAAAATATTAATTTTAATAGAACTGTAGTAATTATGTAAAGAAAACATAAAAGCACACAAATGTCAATGTGATTAAGTAGCTAAAGTCAGCTGTAACATGTATTGTAGAAATTTTGTACATCTCTTGGGTCTGATTTTACCACTTCAGCAATATTTGTCTAATGTAATCCTTCACTTCACTGCCCTTTTGAATAACTTTCCCAGAAAAACCTTTATAGAAGTTCCTGTTTATTCCCAGGAAATACTTTTAACTGAAAAGCTCTTCTTTCCAACTGGAGTCCTGAACTATTTTATATAAAGACTGCTATATCCTTTTGCTCTTCATTCCTAGAATAAATAAAGAAACATTACATATATTATACATGTATATAAAAAAACTATTTATATATTCAAATTAATTTTTGGCATTTATGTACATACATGTACTTAAAACAGCTACAATATTATTCCATGCAATACAGGACTTCACGGTTAATGACCCCATATTGAATAGGGGGCAGATTTTCATACTGGAGGTGAAAATGGTATGAAAAATACTAAAAAACATCATTAAAACAGAACAGCCACTTGGAAACATGCATAGGTTTTCCCATATTTTAATACCATTTTCCAGAAAATCTGCCCCCTATCCAATATGGCATCATTAGTTAACGAAGTTCTGTATTGTTAACTTATATTATTTATTTTAGATTTTTTTTAAAGACTAAAGACACTTTTAAGACAGACTATTAAATTAAAATGGTTTTTTTGAAGTAATAATATGTATGGCTAAAGCCAAACTTGTCTCGACTAAGTGGCCTAATGAGTCACAGCTATTTATTTTACAGGGGGCCAGGGGCGTAGCAACTTTTACTGCAGGCACTTTCGCCATACCAATTATTTTTTAAACACCTCATTGCCATACCAATTATTCTTATGATATGGCACAAACCCTTCTAGAAAGGACATTTTGCCGTACAAATATTAAATACTTTCCCTGCTACGCCTCTGATTAATCCCTTTTGAACTATGTGTCCCGACGGCCAAGTCAGAAAATACTTAAATAGCTCCCGACACATTCAAAGGGGGTTACGCCTCTGATTATCAGAGTTAACAATTAACAATACAGAACTCCATTTCAGAGATACTTATTGCTATTATAATCATTTCCAATTATCTATGTCTATGTCTACGTAGTGTACTGTACATAAATGTCATTTTTTTTATGTGGCCAGTGTGGGGAAAAAGGACCCCCCCCTTTTTCCCCCAAATGCATAAACAAAACAAAACCGTAATCGTATTTAAAGGATCCGGTAAGTCTTAGAAAACATTAACCGAAATGATTAAAGGAATCAAGTGCAACAGACTCAAACATAAGTGAATATATCACATGCATGTTTGCGCGGTTTCTGCAATATTCAGTGAAAATCAGTTCAATAGAAATGCTCACAAACGTCATCAACATTTTGGTGATATGATGCATAAAAGAATAAAATATTAATAACTTAACTAACCTCAAACTTGCTGTCACTCGTCTTGCATCTATAAAGTAAATATTAATCGACCTTCGGCGTCTTTCAAATTTCCAATTGCAACCTTGCGGAAATGTTACAATTACTCTAAAAGAAACACGAATCCGGATACGGTCTGATATTCCGGGAAGTTCTCGTTTTTACATGTTTCGGTTCCAATTAAAATTAATGTTTACATTGTTTATAATAATGTACAGACGAGAAGCAAAATACTTTTATTTAAATACAAAATATCTATTGGCACAAAGTCATTAATTATAACAATGAATGGTTCCATTTAAAAGTCAGTCCTGTACAGTAGTATTGCATATAATAATATTTAAAAAGACATATATTTATAATGAAAAGTTTATAGGATATATAGAAAAATGTGAGTGGAAATAATTAGACCATATTACAATAATCACATGGGATGTTTTAAATCTGAATTAGGATAAGAAAAAATAGACATGAAAGAATATCACGGCCTTTTCACTGGTTTCAACAACCAGTGAAAAGGCCGTGATATTTTTTATTAAACATGAAAGGACAAATTATCACGGCCTTTTCACGGGATATTGAAATTTCACGGTCTTTTTCTAACATCAAATATTTTTTTTACAAAAGTCACGGGGTATTTTCACGGGGTTTTCACGGCCCTGTGATATTTCACAGACATTTCATGGCCTTTTCATGGGGCTGTTGTTACAGTAGTGTATAGCAATCATTTGTTTTTGGGTGGAAATACAATGACATAATATATGTGTGTATTAACACAGTTTTGCTATCTCTCATTAGTTTTTTTTGAGCATTACAAAGTTTTTGGTTCAAAAGTCAATAAAATGATTGACTTTGTACAGCAATTTGCATTATTACGACGCTAATTTATTTACAAATAACACACAACAAGCACATACATAACAAACTCTCACTTAGCGGTACCATCATAAAATATGTTTACGACAACCGTGTTAAATCAAACATCGAATTCCCCCACACGCTATAACAGCCTTATTTCGGTCACATATTTAATTTTAGAATATTTATCACTGATGTAAAATACATATTGTATTATAGAATTAAAAGTTTGAGTACTTTCAATCATTGAGGTTATACAACAACAACCATAAAAATAACGTTAAAAACTAATGAATGTTTTTGCGAACAATACAAAATTCTGGAATAAGCATCTTCAGGTATGTTTGAATCCGAAAGTTAAGAATCCAATATAAAATAGTCCAGGAGAGTATAAACCAAAAGAGTCTGAACAGAAAAGCAAACAAAAAGAAAAAAAAAACATCAAACGAAAAAAACAGTTCAATGTTGCTTGAGGGAGTTGTAACTATTTATATAATTTTATAAATTGGAAAATTAAGTACACTAAATATTATTTAAACTACGCTAATACCAAAAATACTGGCAACTGTACAAACTTTAGTCACAATTTATGAGAAATACATACCAATATGTCTCTATATGGAGGTGTCGCCTTTTCACAGATACCGACTTTGACACTTCAGTGTTCTAATTTTTTTATCGTTATTGTTAAATTCTAGATTGTCATGAAGATGAAATTCGAGGTTGGGAAAAAGATGATGAGACATTTGTTGAAACTAGAGCAACAGAGCATGTGCTGACGTGGATTTCAAAGTGTAATATAGCTGTTGTCACGGGTAGTTCCGGGGCCGGAAAATCATTTCTCATTCACCATGTTGCTTTAGAGTTACATCGACAGAAAAATTATGATATAATACCTCTATCATTTGTAACGGCACCATCGGATATTATGAAATATTACAGTAAAAACAAAAACCAGGTTTTTGTAATTGATGATATATGTGGTAAAGGAACAATGGATGTTCAGTTAGTAAATACATGGAAAGATCTTACAGAAAAGTTAAACGATATAATCAAATCGGATTGCACCGTTACAAAACTTTTAATTTCTTGTAGGCTTCAGATGTTTAATGACTCACAGTTCAAAGGGTTAACGCGGTTTACTGCAAATGTGTTTGATATTGTATCAGAACCACTTTGTCTTCTCCCAGAAGAGAGATTATTGATGATAAAAAAATATTTAAAATCCGATAAAATTGATCTTGTGATAAATGATCTATGTCATTTTGACTTCTTTCCACTACTGTGCAAAATGTCGAAAAACATATCTTTTGAGAAATTGCCACTTTTCCTCAAATCCCCGATTGATACAATAAAACAACATATAAAACATATCATAGATTCGGAAAACAAGCACCAATTGTGTGCCTTAATATTATCCATTTTGTTTGACGAAGGATTTAAAGAGGATTGGCTATGCAGTTTAAAAGCAGTTCCAGAAATTATAACTGTTAAACTAAAGGAAATAACACGACATTGTGATATTGATTTAAAGAGTGATTTCGTCAAACGATCCTTACGAAATGGGTTCGCAACATTAGAGGGGACTTTTTTGAAGAAAAATGGAACAAAGTATGTCATTCATGATAAAATATATGATATTGCATTCATTGTGTGCGGACAATATCTTGAGGAATGTTTTATTAAATATGCTAATGAAGTGTTAATCGGTGATCTATATATTTTTAGATCGATTGAAAGTAATCCCACCGATGAATTTATTGTACTTCCAGAAGAAATGGAAGAAAGGTATTTTGAAAGACTAGTAGACGATTTGAAACAATGTGACATCTACAGTACCCTGCATAACAATCAATTAGTCCATGATTCATTCAGAAAAAAACTTATCAGCTATCTACAACAAAATGCAGAAGATTTAAAAACAATATTCTGTCAAATCGACAGGAATTGGATAAAATTGTTAACTAGGGAATATCATTTTTCCATTGGATATGATTTTGATGATAAAGAAGTGAATGTGACATATCCGTTAATAGAAGCAGCTATCGAGGGATATGTGGATATAGTTGAATTTCTTCTTAAAATGAACTGTAATGTAAATAAAATAGACAGCTTTCATAGGTCAGCATTATATAAAGCTTGTGAAGGTGGATATGATGATGTTGTAAAACTTTTGATAAACCATAATGCTGATGCTTCCTTGTGTCATGAAGATGGATATTCTCCATTACATATGGCATGTAAAGCAGGAAATTCTTATATAGTAAAATTGATGTTAGACAAAAATGCAGATGTTAACAGTGTTTCCCGCTTCGGTGACACTCCGTTGAGTCTAGCATGCGAGGGAGGGTATGGTGATATAGTACAAGAACTACTGCAAAACAAAGCTCAGGTTGTCGGTGTACCTGCCCGCAAATCATCTCTATGTCTGGCTTGTAAAACTGGAAATGAGGACATCTTGAACATGTTACTTGCCGCAAATACAGATATCATATATCAAGATAAATATGAATGGGATGGATATGTATTATCATCATGTTCACCTTTGATTGTTGCTTGCGAAAAGAACCATATCAAAATAATTCAGTTATTATTTCAGAAATGTAGCGATAAATTTTCCTCTTTTGACAAGTGTTCTTCTCTATGCACGGCTTCGTATAATGGTTCCACAGATATTGTCAACTTTTTTATAAAAAACACAGATATTAGTATATGCGAAGAGCTAGATTTTTCATTAAATATGCCTATGTTTTTGGCATGTACTGGAAGAAATCTTGAGACAGTCCAATTCTTTCTGTCGCAAGGTTTTGATATATTTGAATGTAACAATGCTGGTCAATCGTTGCTTCATGCAACCTGTGAAATTTATCATGAAACCGAAGGTCACAAATCTGTAACTAACCTATTGATTCAAAAACAGTTAGCTGTTTCTAAACCGGACAAAAGAGGATTATCTCCATTACATTTAGCTTGTAAAAATCGTTTGCCTTCTATATGTAAACTACTTATAAGTAACAACGCTAATGTAAATATGCAAGACAATGATAATAGGACACCTCTATATTTTGCCTGTGAATCAAAGAACTTTGATATCGTTGAAATATTACTTAAAAATAAAGCAGACATTATGTTGTGTGATAACGCCGGTAGAACCCCACTTCATGCTATTTGTGAGAGATGTAAGTACGGGACGAACTTACGACCATCGGCTTATCCTGATATGTCTGTTATAAGAATACATACGGAATCCAAGTCGATAGTCAAATCATTGATTGATATCGATGCAGAAGTGAATTCACGTGACAATGCAGGGGAATCTCCGTTACATAAAACCTGTAAGTATGAAGATTATGAACTAGTAAATATGCTTCTTTCCTTAAAGAAATCAGACATCAATTTACCAAATAATTCAGGTCAGACACCATTGCATTTAGCGTGCAAATCCGGCTACGGAAACATAGTTAAATTGTTATTGATGGAAAAAGCAGATAGTTTTAAAGAAGATAACCAAGGAAAATCCCCACTTCATATTTCTTCAGAAATTTTGAGAATAATTAAAGATAACCTCAGCTGGTACAGATTGTCGGATAATTACAATCTGGGATATGATGACTTTAACAACGATTGTTCGGAATCCATGGTATCTACTACATATAATCAATTTACATATATTGTTACGCTTTTGACTGAATACAATGCAGACTTGTCTAAGTCATGAAAACAGCTACACTACACTGTATTTACTTCATAAGTTAAGCGGTGTTTTCGATTTGTTTCAAAAAGCTACGAAATGATTATCATGATAAATAATACAGTAAAGGAATATTTATAACCAGACGTCTACATATATAAGGAAAACTCCGTTCTTATATAGCTGAACACGCTATCAATAGTAATATTTTAAAAATTAAGCTGCAGATGTTTTCTTATTTTATGAAAAAGTAAGACGGCACCGACGGGCAATCAAACATACTGGATCGTAAAGCAGAGGCAACACCGTTTTCATCTGGAAGAAAATTCCAAAAAGACGGACTGATAGATTTTCTCATTATAAGGTTCAATCAAGTGAAAAGTCGTAAATGAAAGAAAAGAGTGGGATAGTTGATAAATGGAACATAACTAAAGATATCTATGAGATATCCTACTATAAATATCGTATTCACCATCTACAAATAGGGAAATGGTTTTATACATGTTATATAAGAGAACTGCTTTTGTGTTTTAATCCCATTTTTTAATTAAAATGTACTGTCTACTTCAATTCATAAATAAAACATGTTTACACTAATCAATGCATCTGGATTTTACAAGAGATTTATTTGCGCGGCTTTTGTGTCGCGAGAAAAAAATAAAGCGAATATACATAGTCACCAATTTTCCCATTTTTTAAAGTTTCTTATATGGATAAAGCAACAAAAGAAGAACATCTCCAAAATAAATCGTTGCGAAGACGGACAGAAATGGTTAAATATGAAAAAAAATATTCGAAAACAATCTGGTTTACAGAATTCCGTAACGGTAATCTCAAGCATGATGAAGCCCGAAATAAATTGTAAAAAGATAGCTTAAACTTTTGTAGTAAGAAGATATGGTTCATAACCTTTTATGCGTTACATCTCATTATCAGATATAAATCACAAACTCTGATATGTTGTTAAACCGGGGGAATAATATATTCCGGATGTAAGTGGGTCTGGAAAGTGTTTTTTACTGATAATGGAAAGGTCCAAAATGGGAAGATTTGTCATCTCTTCCAGGTTTAAGTTTTCTAGGTTTTTGTTTGTAAACTTGATTTATGTTCGGTAAACTTCTATGGTGTCCGTTAGGTATGCTCAAGTCTTACAGTTTGAATGAAAAAAAAACAACAAAAACATAAAACGTTTAAGACCATAAAAGATATGAAACAAACATAATTGTATCAGCTGTGATATATTTCATTGTGGCACATCGTTTTCGTAAAAATTATGTTTAAAATGCTGAAAAAAAACTACACATTTCGACTGCAAAAAAAAACAGTACATAGATAGATTTTAAAATCTACACCAAGACCTGTATTTGAAAACGTAACAGCTAGATTTATTTCCACACCCAGAACTTAGAATACATGGCTAAATTATAGAAAGCCGTTCTCGTCAAAACTATGTCATAGCCATATTTAGAAAAAAAAGAACACACTTACATTTATAAAAAAACACAAAGCGATTAAAAGACTTTAAAACACACACTGCGAATAATGTACACACTGAAATTAAATAAAAAACACTGAGGTAAAAAAAAAATCAAAAATACACAGTAAGAATTGAAAGTTACATTTATGAATAAAAGAATTAACACTGAGTATTCAAACTACGCACTGATATTATAAAAAATGACAAAAAAAATGAAAATTTAAGTTCCATACTGAGATTTGTGCGCATATACCTAATTATCATACTAAGGCTGCGTTTGGATATGTATCTGACGTTAACTATGGTAACTCATGAGTAATTACCTCATTGTACCCTTCGTTAAAAATTGTGATAAAAATAGTCTGACATATGTAAGTATTGTACAAAGAGTTTACACATGGTTCTAGATTGATGATCAATTATACCCATACTTAATAGATGAAAAAAGTAATGCTACTTAAGCGTTGTTTTATCATAAACTAACATTCATGGATGGGCATACAGCCTGAATACGGACGTTTTCACCAGTAGAAAAAAAAATCGATGTATTATATGCAGTCATGATCGATAACCTATGAATTAAAAGAAAAAGTGTGTGAACTTTTGTTGAAAAAGGTCACCAATGGTCAGATTTGTCTCTAACAATATTTTCAACCGTATGTACCCTTTAAGTTCCTTTAGGTAACCATAATTAACTTCAGATACGTTTATTCAAACGCACCCTAAAGCAGTGGCGGATCCAGAACTTTTTGTAAGGGGGGCCCGCTGACTGACCTAAGGGGGGCCCGCTCCAGTCACGCTTCAGTGATTCCCTATATAATCAACAAAATTTTTCCCACAAAAGGGGGTTCTACATTTCTGTATTATGAAACAAAACCTTTTTTTCAAATCTAATCACACCGCTTGTATATATATGAAGACTTTTTCTTATAATATACCAGTACATTTGAACTTCTTTTTAACAATAACGTGTTTGAGAAATCGCATATAGTAATTTTTGACCGGGTTCTTTAATAGAAAAACTAAGTTGCATATAAGTTGAAAGTTTGAGTTCCGCCTTCGTAATGAATAAAGATATGATTGGTTTGGTTCATAGACATTTTACAGTTTCATTTTGAAGAGATTGTCTTTAAGATTAAAACAAAGTGCAATTTAGGCAAATAAAACAGCAAAATATATAAAATCAATATGCTTAGCTCATCAAACCGCAGTAGATCTTGCTTAAATACTTAAGTGGTGAATACATTTCAAAGTTTTTCTCTTTTTCTTGGTTCTATATTTTCCGATCATTTTAATAAAATGTTGCAAAATATACTGACAGATTTTTAAAACGAAAAACTAAAGTATTTATTTAATTTTAATTTTCAAATATATAATCCTTGTTAAATACATATATAAACATCACTTTCATTCATTACTTCGTCGTCTACTTATAGTTTGCATTTCTAAAGTTGAATTGATAAATTAACGTTAAATGTTCAAATCATGGGATTAGCACTGAAAAACTGTTTTTCTCCTTATATATTGGTGTGTTCAACGTTGAAGACAATAACTGCTTGTAACCAACGCCTTAATGATTTACTTAAGGTGGCACATAACACTACAGGTAGATAACTCTGTAAAATCAGCTGAACGTTTTAATCACATTCTATTGTTAAAGGAATATTAAGCTTCTCAAAGATCAAAATTAGTGTTTGTCAGACTGCTATATATCCAGTGAAATGTTTCATGTTCTGTTTGATCCCTGCTTCTCTATTTCTGATTTTGCCTCTATCCCGGCCATTTTAGTAGGTTTTTGACAAATATGTGGGTTAAACGCGTAACATTAAAATAGTTAATTGCAGTGGATTGTGTGGTAATGTTAGTATAAAGGATACATTGTTGACGTGCATCTGTCTGCCATGACATCCGGTGACTTGGTTAGCAGTTAACATTACAGTCGTAGATTTCTCTGGCAAATGGCGTTGCGTATTGACATTTAATTGCCGTAGTGTTGTAACTAAATGTTAACCTGGTCATGAGAGGTCATTTACGAATTCCGTCTGTCTGTGTATATCATTGTTGTCAGGACGGTATGAGACGATCACAGCGTTATCGGCTTCCACTTTCATTTTAGTGTGTTACAAGTACAGTTTGTTATTGTATAAACAAACAATACAATTTCCCTTAGAAACTCAACAAAGATACTTGGCTTATAATATGATACGTAAACCTATGCAACGTCTACTATGACACTTTAGGAAATATTGCATACTGGAATAAAAATTCACAACCTAGATTCGCCAATCCCAAAATATAGGTTGTGCGGCATTTTATCACCGTTACTAGGCCTTCATGTCTTAACAATTTAATTTTATACTTAAATTTTATGCTACCCATGTTTTCATTTTGAGTATTCCTTAAATTATTTTGATTGCTACCGAACTTTATTAGTACTGGTAAAATACCGAAGATATGGTTCTTTTAGATGAAACATGGTGATCATATCTTTTAAATTAGCTAGTAAATGAAACTTATCTTATAATAATATAGTCTCTACAAAAAAGACATAGTTTTTTAAACAGCTATATCTCAAAAATGCAACCTACATCTAGTAATAAAAATTGTTTTCCGCCAGCTGGTCAATATTTTTTTTATAGTGAGACTATTCTGGAGAGTGTTTAAATTACAAAAAGGTTTAAAATAACATCAAGTATAGAGAAATTCAAATACACACCTGTAAGGGTATATAACTCATGTCGATGTATATAAAACCTAAAAAAACACAAATATGATTCTTTTTACTTAAATCCTTCAATTGTCCATCATCATCAATATTGAAAAACTAAACAATCATTAAGAGTATTTCAGCGTCAATATATGAAAGGAAAAAAATCTTGTACATTTACAGCAAACCCTCAAGTCTTTGTTACTTATCTTAATTTCATATTCACAGGATTATAGAAGTACTGGTCAAAATGGGATATTGGAAGGATATCATACATTATATCATTTTGCTACGTGTTTTTTTTTTCTTCTAACCATTTAAGAATATTTTTTATAAATAAGTAATCGTATGATTTAGGATGCCTGTGAAAGGCATGAGATACTGAAGCATTAGGTCGCATAGCTTGGGGTTATTGAGATTGGTATCGTTCCATCCTTACCTGTTTAACTTTATTTCCTCATATCTTGAATGGCGCAGAGTTCTATATTTATACCTCGACCAACTTTGACCTTTTGCAGAAGAGTAGCGGACAGTAAAGTAAACACATGTGCTATGCTGGTCAGTCCAAAGCTTACAATCGTGGCGAACATCGTCGCATTTATGTAGGAGTAGACACATTATTACATCGATTAACACACACCCTCTCTTCTTTATACAAGAACATTCCTATTCGATTTTCATCAAGAGTGATCTTCTTTTTCTTTTTGTTTTTTCTTTATTTTTTTATGGGAAACGAACCCATTTAGTAAGGCCCATTCTGACTATACTTCAAAAAATTATGATGACAAAGAACTAGAACCCTAGCTCAGTTCCCCATCCCTAAATGCTGAACTATGTGGATTTATATTTATAGTTTCCTTCATCTTTTTTTCAAAATTTATATTCGTCATTTGTTTTTGTTGTTTGTTAAACTAATAAATATGATAAAGGAGGTTTTGTCTACACATAAATATTTTTAAAGAACCTCTTAGCAATTATATAAAATTAAGAAGATATTGTATGAATGCCAAAATTAGATAACTATCTATTAAAGTCTACATAACAATGATGTACTGTCTTGATCAATGAGCATTTATATTCTGTATATATATATTTCATGCACGGGTGATTTTCTTTAAATTGTGTTAAAACTACATTACCTTTTCATAACACGTGTTTCAGTTCAGATGGAAGTTTGATGTTACCATGCCAACACAATAACAAAGTAGAGAAGACTGTTTAGTGTTTTGTTTTGAATTTAAAGCAGACTTATATTTCGGAATGGCTTGGAGCAAATTTCAAATCTCTAAACACATTTTGTGAGAGAAAGTTGGTTGTTGTGGCATTCCTAAAAAAAACCTTCTACGTAAGTACATTATTAACATTCATCCCCTCTCCCCTATCTGAACATAAGGCACATCTTGATAAACAGGCATCATTAAAAATCACTTTCGCATTTAAAACCCCGACCTCTGGTAAATATTAACTTTTATAACTTTCAACAACAGGCTCTCCTTCTGTTTTCTTCTACTTCGGTCAGACCAAATCTTAATTAATTGGACTTTGCTTATTATGCTGCTTCATAAGAGTTGTTGCTGAAATTCAATTTTACTGATGTTACTGAATAGTTAAACCACATTGAATAATTATAAGGATTATTTATCATTTTATTCGAAGAAAAACTATCACCACCATGCCAAAATTCCACAAAACACTACATAAACCTGAAGATTGAATACACGAAACTCACGCCTAACCGGGAAGAAATCATGTGCTCTGGATGGGTAAGCATTTTCAGCACCCGTCGTGTTGCTCATGCTCAAGTACAAATCCAGGGACAAGTCTCATTTGGTGATGTAAAACCTGAATAGGATAATGATATTTACATGTATTTCTTCTATATTTCTACACATTAGTTACATGTAGTTCCCAACAACCAATTATTTGTATACATATATTTTAGCACTGAAATGGTAACGAAGTCTTAACTACCTTATAATAAAAGCACAACATGGATGAAGACACGAAATGTTCATTCTTAAAGCGAGCCTTCCCGCCAGGTTTAGAAGATGAAGTTACTTCCATCGAGACGAAAATTGCTCGAACAGCAGGTATTTCTATTTGTTTGTGTCAAGTGAAATTTGTAAAGCTACCACTGAGTCAACCAGGAAGAAAAAAAAACCACTCACACAACCATAAACTAAACATGCCATAATTTTTATGTTATTTATATTAAATTAACATCAATATCATTATTTTAATGTAATTATTTTGTATCAATGATTCTGATTGGATGACAGTAAGCGTAAAATTCTCTATCTCCCTGTCTGTAACTAAGGAAGCCGACATTTTGAATTCCGGAATGTATTGACATGTAACTTCTCCAATAATAAGCAAAAAAACTTACATTTTGCACCTTCAAATTTTCTTTTTATCAAATTTTATTTTATTCTGAAGCGAACAAGAAGCCAGAAAACGCCCGGTGTTTACGTTCGATGCCCGAAGCTTACCTATGACGTCACATAGTTTAGGCGCCAAAGAAGATAACATCATTTCGCGGAATTTTTGTTTAATGAAAATTTTACACTCAAATAATGACTAAATTCAACGATTTCTTTATTTTGCATTAGAATAGAGATAACTGTATTGTATTTGAAGTTTTGCGGACGTCCATCGGTAGTTTTACTGTCGCAAATTGAGTTTACCTTGCGACGCGTATTCATTGTTCAATTATTTCATCTTGTAAAATTGCACATAATTTTTATTTGAAGAAAATAATTATTTAGGAAAAAAACGAATTCAAATGGATATGCATGAATATTTGTTAGAGGAGTTGATTGAGTTTTGTTAAAACATCCTATATAAATTAGATTGTGACCAACAAAAGAATTTCTTATTTGCTGCTATTCTTTACATCTATTTTTATCAATACGAATTTTTGTTGATATGATATTAATTGTGTGATGAAGAAATTTTCTTATCAAAAAAAATATTTAATATATTTGGTTACAAAAGCGTCCGATGATGAGTGATCTGCGTGCGATTCTACTCCTTATGGAATGTGGACCAGGCTACTTTCGTAACCAATATATACAGGATTGCGGCTTTATAATCACATGACACAAACAAAACATGGTTGGTGTGATCTTTTGTACCGTCCAATAATTTTGGTTATTCCAATTATCTTTTTATATAGTATGTAAACATTATCGAGTTTAAAAAAAACGAATAGTTAAAGAATTGTAAGGATCATTAAACACATTAATATGAATAGAATCGGGGAATACTATACTAAGTCAATAAATATATTATGTCCTAGATAGTAATATATTATGTCTGTTTGGGTTGGTGACCCAATTTTGTCTATATAACGGAACTATTAACAACAAGTGGGAGGGTTAGCTATCTAAGAAAGCAATCTTAATCCGCTGTTTTCTTTGGGAAATACCTGTACCAAGTCAGAAATATAGCAGTTTTTTTTCACTCGTTCCGTTGATTGATAGCGTTTGATTTTGTCATCTTTTATGGACTTATCGATGTTAAACCTAGAAAATGTACTAAACATGACGTTTAAAAAGAATATGTTAATCCTGACAATGTCACCCAAAGAAATTAAAAATTACTTCTGTTTAATCGGGAAATTCTCAGCTTTGAATTTTAATTCATATTTTAACCTGTAATTGCAATATTAAATGCATTTATTAGTAGTTAAAATATAGCCACATACTTCTTCAAATATAACCATAATTATGTAGTCGCATCAGGCACCATTTGTGGTTCCACAAAAAAAAAAGAAGGAAAATCATGAATCGATGTGTAACCCTTCTATCAAAAGTTGTCTTGGCTAATGAAAATGAAAGCCTCAAGAATCATCAGTATAATTAAAACAAGGTTGGAATTTTTCGAACGATTAAAAGGTCGATACTTCAAACAAGAAATCATTGAAAATCTAAGGAAAATATTTTAGAAATAGGAAGGGCTAAAAAAGAGGGACGAAAGATACCAGAGGGACAGTCAAACTCATAGATCGAAAACAAACTGACAACGTCATGGCCAAAAATAAAAAGACAAACAGACAAATAATAGTACAGATGACACAACATATAAAACCAAAGACTAAGCAACACGAACCCCACCAAAAACTGGGGGTGATCTCAGGTGCCGGAAGGGTAAGCAGATTCTGCTCCACATGTGGCACCCGTCTTGTTGCTTATGTTATTACAAATCCGGTAAATAGTCTAATTCGATAAGTCACATTCGTGAAAAGGGAAAATCTTCACAATAGCTTTTATTTACATTTCTAGGACCGTCTGATGATTTAGATGATAACAAGAAAAGATGGCTCACAGTTGGAATTTGTTTACACACTGTAATAACTCCTGTACTCAGAGAATATATTTTACCTATTCTTATAAAGCTTTATTACCGCTTAACAATAAAATGCCAGATTGAAAAACAAACTTATCCATTCCAACTAAAGACAGACTTGTCGGGGATATATCTAAACTATAAGACGATAAATATGAATAAAGATATCTTTGGAAAACGTACAAATCTTTATGATTACCGAGTCCAAAATCCTGTGGATTTATCCAAGCTATTTCTTCAAACACACATGGCAAAGTACCAGGCTATAGATGATTCATGCGATTCATCAGCACTTCTTGGGATAATCATTAATATCAACGAATTTCCTGTAACAGTGCAAAATAATTCTAATACAGTAGGTATTATTTGTGATTATAAACATATTAAATTAAGGAATGTATGATATTCCCATCATGCATATTTGACCCTTTTCAATTTAATAAGCTTTTCAACGTTTGCATCAGGTTTTTAGATTCATTTGCCCAAAAATGTAAGAAGAGAAGATTTTTATACAAAAAGTGGGAGACGACTATATCTCACAGTGACTTTTAATGCCATGGAAGTTAACAGTGCACATGCGTGTCATTATTGTCCTGTCATTCTTCTTCCTTCATACCATTTGTACAGAGTCATGAAATGATTCTACTAACACAGTATTAACCGATTATCTAAAAGAGATTTCACGTTGAAATCTATCCATTCACGGACCCGTATGAACATTTGAACTTTGAACATTCTATTATCTGTATTTTTCGTTATAAATTATTCTATAATTTGTAATACGACTTCGTTTCACAGTTGACATTATTTGATTATATTTTCTTATTTCTTGCATGGGTAAAGGAAGTGTTTGTGATATGCCATTGTTATATTATATGCTTCTGATTGAACATCAATGCATGTCAAGTATTTTTTTTTTAATTTATCTTTCTTGACTGAAACTGTAGCTAATACGATACATTTTATTGGTAAACTTTCAGGTGCGATCAAACATCAGGAATACTTGGGCACACTGTAATTTTTCAGAGTGGAATTATGGTAAATTTTCAAATTCATTTAGAGAGATGGAAAGTTTGATAACAAGTCTGAAGCTCGGATCGTCTAAGGAAAAGAACATTTTAGGCGAACTTACAAGATGGAAAACCAATGGTAATTTTTGATATTAAGACATTTTATTCTTTATATTGACCTAAGTTTTGTTGCAATTATCATTAATTGCGGTCATTTTGCGCATTTGTAATAAAGTTGAAGATTGTCTATGAGTCGTATTTTGTTAATAAATACTTTAAAAAAAACCATGCCAGTATACGTAACCAGTAACGAAATAAAAAGAGATTTTTGATTTAGGGCCAATATCGCCTGCTCAACGAACTTAAACTATTGCATTCATTTAAACAATATTTAGTTTGCACGTAATAAACGCGGATAAAATAAACAAAGTTAAAAGTCTTATCCCATTTTTTGCTTGCAGGGATAAATTTGTTCAAGGGCACAACACTTGGTCTCGAATTGGTTAATGAAATTTGTCAACAGACTGGTGTCCTAGCAAAATACGCAAAAAGTTTGAAAAATTACATACAGAATGAAATGGAAAAGAAAGCTGCAGTTGACAACATGTTAAAAGATGAAATAAGGATGCTGAAGGAAGAAATTAAAGACATAGGTCGACATCAGGAGGAAATAATTCCAAAACATATAAGAGGTAAATGTTTAAAAAAGAACATAAACTTATCAAGAGCAGAACAAACTTCCTTGGAGAAATGAACCAAAATCTAAAAATCCTATGTGTGATGTGAGAACAGTTGAATCACATGAATTAATCTTCCAGCGTCCGTGTCAACGCCGCGAAACTATAAATTCCTATGAAAGGATTTTCTCTGGGTATAAATCAGTTACATATCCTTACCTCGTACAAGTTTCGTCTGTATTTAAATGAAAAAAAAGATTGCTAGGTTTACAGAAAAGCAACATTTCTTTGCCAGTTTGCACATATTGAAACAAAATGTTTATTGGTAAATCAATCGTAGAAGCATGTTTACTTTATTGAAAACAACAAAACAGAAAGGGTAAATAAACTCATCATAGATACCAAGATTGAAATTTTGTATTTGCGCCAGACGCGTTTCGTCTACAAAAGACTCATCAGTGACGCTCGAATAAAAAAAAAGTTAAGAAGGCCAAAAAAAGTACGAAGTCGAAGAGCATTGAGGACAAGGCAGTATTAATACACAAATGAAAGGTGATGTTATTGTTAAGCAAAGATTCATGTTACTTGATTGAAGAATTTTAAATCAATAAGTAAATGCAGTATATTAATGGAAATTCAGTTAAAATAGATATTTAATGGCAATTTTCACATTGAATAAGATTATTTGTAAATGATTCACTCTGAAATATCTCTATATGTTTTCAAGGGTAATGCATAATAATACCATGATTAATATACACAAATAATAGATATTTGCAACCTTATTGTCATTGTTTTATTGTCGTCAAGGACATTATATTTGGTGGTTTAATTTGTTTATTAATATTGCCAATTTCCAGATCGTCATGAAGAAAAAATCCGAGACTGGGACAGAGATGATGAAACATTTGTTGAAACTAGAGCAACAGAACGTGTAATGTCATGGCTTTCAAAGTGTAATATAGCTGTTGTAACGGGTAGTTCCGGGACCGGAAAATCGTTTCTCATTCACCATGTTGCTTTAGAGTTACATCGACAGAAAAATTATGATATAATACCTCTATCATTTTTAATGGCACCATCGGATATTATGAATTATTACAGTAAAAATAGAAAACAGGTTTTTGTAATTGATGATATATGTGGTAAAGGAACAATGGATGTTCAGTTAGTAAATACATGGGAAAATTTCACAGAAGAACTAAACGGTATATTCAAATCAAATTCAACTGACAAAGAAGAAACCATTGGTGCCAAACTTTTAATATCATGTAGGCTATCGGTGTTTAATGAATTACAGTTTAAAAGTTTAACGCTTTTTACTAAAAATGCATTTGATCTTCTAGCTGAAAGGCTTTGTCTTCTCCCAGAGGAAAGAATAGTGATGATAAAGAAATATATAAAAAGCGATAACATTGATGATGTGGTAGATCATATATGCGATTTTGACTTTTTTCCACTCCTGTGTAAAATGTCTAAAAACATAGCACATGAAAATTTAAAACTCTTCTTCACATCACCGATTGGTACTATAAAACAAAATATAAAACATATAATAGTTTCAAAAAACAAACACCAATTGTGTGCCTTTGTTTTGTGTATTTTGTTTGAGGAAGGGTTTGAGGAGGAGTGGCTTAACTGTAGATTGAACGTGGGTCCAAAAATGTTAATAAATAAACTAAAAGAAATAACGACACACTTTGATGTCGATTTAGATAAAGAACTCGTAAGATTATCTTTAAAAAATGGATTCTCGACATTAGTTGGTACATTTTTGAAAAAAATTGGAACAACATACAGCTTAATTCATGACAAAATATACGACATTGCATCCATTGTATGCGGACAGTATCTCAAGGAATGTTTTATTAGAAATGCTAATGGAAGATTTATTGGTAATAAGTATATATTCGAATTCATTAAAACTAATCCCAACGACGACTTTATTGTACTTTCAAAAGAAATGGAGGTAGAATATTTTGAAAGACTAGTTGATGATTTGAAACAAGGGGATATCTACAGTACTCTGCATAATAAACAATTAGTCCACGAATCATTCAGAAAAATGCTTATTGAATATCTCAACAGCAATGCCGAAGGTGTGCATGATTTATTCCGTGAAATCGACAAGAATGGGATAAAACTGGTTACTGGCGAAAGACATTGTGATTGGGATGACTTTTATGATACCGATGATGACGATGAAATAACTGACGATGAAGTTACTAACGTTACATATCCGTTAATAGAAGCAGCTACCGAGGGGTTTGTGGATATAGTAGAATTCCTTATCAAAATGGATTGCAAGGTCAATAAAATAGACAGCTTTAATAGATCAGCCTTATACAAAGCTTGTGAAGGTGGGTATCAAGATATAGTAGAAATTTTATTAAACCATGACGCCGACGCTTCCTTGTGCCATGAAAATGAATCTTCTCCACTACATATGGCATGTAAAGCAGGAAATGCTCACATAGTGAAATTGCTCCTTGCAAAGAATGTCGATGTCTGTAAACTTGATAGAGATGATACATCACCGTTACGCGAAGCTTGTAAGAATGGAAATGTGAATATAGTAAAACTACTTCTGCCAAATGACACTAACATCAATGTGTCCGATACGTGGATGGAGTTTTGTCCTCTCCACTTGGCGTGTGAAGCTGGAAACCTAGATGTAGCAAAGTTGTTGTTAGAAAAAAATGCAGATGTAAACAGTGTTTCTCGCTTCGATGATACTCCTTTGAGTCTAGCATGTGATGGAGGTTATGCTGATATAGTAAAACAATTGCTGGAAAATAAAACAGCAGCAGATGTTTGCGGTTTAAAGCCGAATAAATCGCCTCTATACTTGGCTTGTAAATCTGGAAAAGCAGCTATTGTGAAAATGTTACTGGACAATACAGACATATATCCAAAAATAAATACTTGTGATGAAATATATTCACCTCTTGAGGTTGCCTGCCTAAATAATCATTTCAATGTTATTCAGTTATTAGTACAGAAATGTATCGACAAATTTTCTTCTTTTGACAAGTGTAGGTCTATGGGCACTGCGGCGGTTAATGGGTGCACAGACATTGTTAAATTATTCATGGAAAATACAATGTTCAGTTCCGTTGAAGAGATAGATTTTGCCTTGTATTTGGCGTGTACAGGAGGAAATCTAGGGACAGCTCAATTTTTGCTGACACAAGGTTTCGATATTTGTCAATTTAGATATGATGGCCGATCATTGCTTCACGCAACTTGTGAAAATTTTCCTGAATCCGAAGATCGCATATCTATTATTAACCTTTTGATTCAAAATCAGTTAGACATCTCCAAACCGGACGAATATGGGTTATCGCCTTTACATTTAGCTTGTGAAAATGGTTTGCTTTCCATATGTAAATTACTTATAAGCAACAAAGCGAAAGTCAATATGCAAGACAATGAAAACAGGTCTCCTTTACATCTTGCTTGTCAAAACAAGAAATCAGATATAGTTGAAGTATTGCTTGAAACTGGAGCAAACGTTAAATTGTGTGATAACGGTGGTAAAACTCCCCTTCATGTAATTTGCGAGAGATATAAACGCTCGTTTCACTTTCGACCAAAAATCAAAAAATCTCTTCCAATGTTTGTCTTTGAAATGTCTACGAAATGTAAGTCGATAACAAAATCACTAATTGATCATAATGCAGAGGTGAATGCACGTGACAATGAAGGGGAAACTCCGTTACTTCTAGCCTGTAGGTATGGAGATTATGAACTGGTAAAAACAATACTTTCCTCGAGGAAATCTGACCTTAATTTACAGAATAGTAAAGGTCAGACACCATTGTATTTAGCGTGCGAATTCGGCGACGACAACATAGTTGAAATATTATTAGGGGGAAATGCAGATAGTTCCAAAGAAGATAACGATGGAAAATCTCCTCTTCATGTTTCTTTGGAAATTTTGAAATCTATCAAATATGAACGCAAGTTTTTGAAAGATAGGGATGATATTGATGATCTGAACACTAAATGGAATATCTTTGAACATATTGCTTCACTTTTAATTGAATACAATACAGACATGTCGAAGTCTTGACGACAGACATACTACGCAGAAAAGATCTGTCTATATTCCATTTATAAGAAAAATTTGATAACACTTACCGTTACCTTGATGATATGTTTGCTTTAAATAATAAAGAACTCTATGATTAGATATACTGCAAAAATACATACAAAGGAACTTATTTTAATAAACCTCAAATATACAGCCAAAATTGTCGTTTTCGTGATTGGAATGTACCAATCTTACAAGGGAAGCAATACTGTTAAATTTCGACAATAGGAATGATTATTCGTTCCCTTTTTAGCTCACCGGGCCCGAAGGGCCCCATGTGAGCTTATGCCATCACTTGGCGTCCGTCGTCGTCCGTCGTCGTCAGTCGTAGATAAGTAATCTATATATAAAATCTTTAATTATCAAGTGAGTGATTAATTACAAAACATTACTTAACAACTTTTCTTAATTTTTTTCATAGATACAAAAATTTTGTTTAATATTTTTGTTGTAGTTTTATAAATTTATTACAAACGGGATATCATATCTTATTGGTTACGAAAGATTAAATTAAATTTATTACAAACGGGATGTCATATCTTCGTTGATTCAAAGCTCATAAATTAAGATGCAATTCATGTAAACTTATTGGTCAGTTAAATAAACTTATAAATCTTATTTTAATTTGTAATTTGTTTGAACTAGCATTCGTTTACTGACAGTGCTCTTAAATATGAGTTTTGTATTTTCTGTATTTTAGAAAGAGTTTTGTGCTCAGTGCCAATCTGAGATTTTCAACTGATTTTCACATTTTGTTCCAAAAAGTAAAATAACAAATATACCGAACTCCGAGGAAAATTCTAAATGGAAATTCCCTAAGTAAATGGCAAACTCAAAAGCTCAAACACATTCAAACGAATGGATAACAACTGTCATATTCCTGACTTGGTACAGGCATTTTCATATGTAGAAAATGGTGGATTAAACCTGGTTTTATAGCTAGCTAAACCTCTCACTTGTATGACAATGTTGTGCTATAGTGCCAATTTCCCAGTTACAGGAGAATTGAACACTTAAAACATGTTTGAGAGCGGCGTAAGATACCAAGGGATATTCGAACTCATAAGTCATGAACGATCTGACAATGCCATGGCAAAACACGAAAAACGACCAAAAGACAAACAAGTCTACAAAACACAACATAGAAAATTAAAGACTGAGCAACACGGACCCTGCCAAAAACCGGGAAAGATATCGGGTGCTCCGAAAGTGTAAACAGGTCCTGCTTCACATGTGGTACTCGTCGTGTTGTTCATGTAATTACAATCTCTGTGATGAGTCTAATTCAATAGATCATATTCGAGGAAAAGAGGACGAGATTGTGTTATAAATTGGTAAAATATCCGTCGTCATCTGTTATACAGATATTCCATAACGGTCAATCAACTGGTGATGGCGTCCGTAACATTTTCAAAGGGATGACGTCATCAACTTCACCACTTTAATAATAATAATGAAAATTTATAAAGCGCCCTATATAAAAAATAAAAATTACTCTAATTTAATCTTAGATGCATGATTTTTTTTATTAGTTGTTAGTGGCTTTGAACTAGCTGTCAGTAACTGCGAGTACTCTCAGATCTGTACTTAGTGTCTTTTTGTTGTTTGGATGTACAAGTACCCGGCCACGTCCACTTGTATTTGTAGTATTTGTATTTTTATCCATCCGATGAGTTAAGCCTCCTTCAACTGATTTTTATAGTTTGTTCTTATGTTGTACTGTTACACCACTGTCCCAGGTTAGGGGGAGGGTTGGGATCCCGCTAACATGTTTAACCCCGCCACATTCTGTATGTATGTGCCTGTCCCAAGTCAGGAGCCTGTAATTCAGTGTTGTCGTTTGTTTATGTGTTACATATTTGTTATTCGTTCATTTTTTGTACATAAATTAGGCCGTTAGTTTTCTCGTTTGAATTGTTTTACATTGTCATATCGGGGCTTTTTATAGCTGACTGTGCGGTATGGGCTTTGCTCATTGTTGAAGGCCGTACGGTGACCTATTGTTGTTAATTTCTGTGTCATTTGGTCTCTTGTGGAGATTTGTCTCATTGGCAATCATACCACATCTCCTTTTTTATATCTAAGGCGCTGAAACTCTTTACTAAATAACCCCGCCATTTTCTTCATGCGCCTGGCCATGGCAATCAGCCTGTAGTGCAAGAGTTGTTGTTGGTTGCCTTCTGTCATAACGGCTTTTAGTTCAATGTTGTTAGCTTAAATCATGTCGTTAGCTTTTCTCTGTTGTATTGCTTCACATGTATTTTTTTTCTGATATTTTATAGCTTCCTGTTGATTTTGCTTATGAATTAAATATTGTAGTTTCATTGGGGTATAAAAGCATTAACCGAAGCACATTTCGAAGCACATTTTGATTTTTACAACCATTAAATTACGAGTTACACTAAACCTTTCGTTTGTTTTAATTTCTATTGGTTTAACATGGTCAATGAGAACACGTGCAGTAAGTGGTATTTCAGTTGATATAAAATATAAAATTTGGATGCCTCCGCTAATGAAAAATATGGAACTATCAGAAATTATGTAATTATTCATTGTTAAAGGCCGTGTGATCTCTGTGACTATTCACATTCATATACTCTAGCCTTTTTATTGGATATTTTTCTCTGAAGTTTAATATGAACTACCGTACTTTCATCTTGCAATGTCGACTATATGCTTCGAAAAGGAGTTTAGAAGGCAACGATATGAAAAGTTTAATCAAGAAAATTACTTAGTGATAATTGTAGATAGAAATGGAATGACACTAACATTTAGCACCAGATTTCTAAATGTATACGGGAAACTTCGTGCTCCAGATCAATATGTGATGAGGAGGCAAAAGAAAACTAGTATACTAGAAGGGTAGTCAAGTCTGTTACTTATTCCTTATTTGATACTTATTCCATATTCTTTACTCATTTCTTATTCGTCACTTATTCTTTATTCTTTATTCGTTACTTGTTCCTTGTTCGGTCTTTATTCGCTTTTTAATATGCTGTCCCCTTTTAATGCTTGCTTTTATTTATTTTCTTTTTTCTTCGCCCTGATGTTAGTTACGGGTTCGTGGAGGTAAAATTATTATGTAAGCGCGTATGTACCCGTTTTCGCTTTTGATTGATACTTTTTCGCTACTTATTCCTCGTCCGTATTCGATTTTTATCAGTTGCTTCTTTTGAAAACGTTCTTTTTCTGTTATTTTCTAGTCTCTGGTGTTAGTTTTTGGTTCGTAGAGGTGAGAAATTATCCTTTTAGATCGTATGTCCCCGTTTCCGCGCTCGACTGATATCCTGTTACTTATTCGCTACTTATTGGTTTCTAATTCGCTTTTCATACGTTGCCCCTTTTTAATGATTTTGGTTTTTCTTTCGATTTCGAGTCTGTGATGTTAATAACCTTGTTATCGCAAATGTATCAGTTTCTGCGCTCGACTGATACCCTGTTACTTATTCGCTACTTATCCAACCCTTATTCGCTTCTTAAACATTGCCCTTTTTTTATTTTTTTTATTGTCTTTTGTGTAAGTGATTGGTTCGTGAAGGTGATATTACCCTGTTGGTGCGTATGTAATTGTTTCTGCGACCGACTGATACCCTGTTAATTATTCGTTCCTTATTCGCTTTTCATATGTTGCAATCGTTTTAGTGCTTTCTTTTCTTTCCTTTTCGTGTATCAGTGCTAATTAAGGGCTCCTTGAGGTGAAATGACCCTGTTGGCTCATATGTACCTGTCTCTGCACTCGACAGATATCCTATTACTTATTCTTGCTTATTCATTTTTTTTAAATATTGCGCCATTTAATATGATTGTCTTTTCTTTAAATTTATTATTTTCGTCTCTGGTGTTAGTTATTGGTTCGTGGAGGTTGCATTATTCAGTTAGCGCGTATGTACCCGTTTCCTAGCTCGACCGATACCATGTCACTTATTCCTTCCTTGTTTGCTTTTATGCGTTGCTCTTTTTTATGTTTTTTTTTCTTTTCATGTATTTGGTGTTAGTTCTGGGTTCATGGAGTTGAAATAACCCTGTTAGCGCATATGTACCAGTTTCTGCCCTTGACTGATACAATGTTACTTATTTGCTACTTCTTATTCATTACGGTACCCCTTTTCATTGATATCTTTTTTTTTTCTGTTTATATCTCTGGTGTTAGGAGTTGAAATTACCCTGTAAGGCCATTTATACCAAGTTCTATGCTCGACTGATACCCTGTTACTTATTCGCTTTTTATACGTTGTGTCTTTTTTAAATGTTCTTTTCCTGTTTCTGGTGTTAGATATTGGTTCGTGGAGGTCAAATTACCCTGTTGGCGCGTATGTACCCGTTTCTCCGCTCGAATGATACCCTATGACTTATTCGCTACTTATTTGTTTTTAAACGTTGCAACTGCGTATAGTGATTTTGTTTTTTTTTTCTTTTCATGTCTTTGTTGTTGGTTCTGGGTTTGAAGAGTTAAAATAACCATGTAAGCGCAGATGTACCAGTTTTTTGCGCTGGTTGAACAACGTTTAAAAAGCGAATAAGGAACAAATATTGGAAGAAAACATATTACAGAATATATGGGCTGCTGGAAAGTTGTTACATGAAAAAAATACACAATGGGAAAACAAGTCATCTTCTTCGGTGAAGTATACTTCTTTAAAAAGTCATTACTGTTCATTTCGGGTGTGAGTAAGTAAACTTTACAAAGGATACTCTTTACTAAAAGGTGGAAAACCAGAGATGTAAAACGTTTGAAAGCAAATAATAAACTCTACATCTAAAACCGACTGAATCACTATTGCTGGAAGAAGTTATCAACCTATGTGTAACATAATTAAACAATTTTATGAACTGAGCAAAAAGGGAACACAATTATGCACATTTTATGCTTTGTTGGTCGTTATCTTATGGACGTTATTTTGAACATAAATTAGGCCGTTAGTTTCATCGTTTGAATTGTTTTACATTTGTCATTTCGGGGCCTTTTATAACTGACTGTGCGGTATGGGCTTTGCTCATTGTTGAAGGCCGTACGGTGATCTATAGTTGTTAATTTCTGTGTCATTTGGTCTCTTGTGAAAAGTTGTCTCATTGGCAAACATAACACATCTTCTTTTTTTATAGTTTAACCGTCTACATTGTCATCTGGAACAAAATAAAACCACTCGATTAATATACTATAATCAATAGCTCATTAACTACATGCACTAATCAAACCCTGACAACAATCTAATTAAATGATTAAATAAAAACCAATTGAATCTGAAGCATTACTGTCAAACCAGACCAAACTACAGTTACATTTTGTAATCGTAAAAGAAAATACATTTAAAAGGATGGAGCTAACAGATGCATTTAACTATCCACCGATAGCCACCTTAGGCCTGGGCTGAGACTAATTTGTTCTTAAGAAGTAAAAATATCTTGTCAAATATTATTGGGGAGAGTAGGCTATGGATTAAAACTTGTCCCAATTACTGTTATACTCTGCATTTTCCGACTTAAATAGGGAATACGTTTATGATCACTTAAAATATAAAAATAAGGAGATGTGGTAGGATTGCTAATGAGAAAACTATCTACCAAAGTCGAAATGAAGTGAATGTAAGCAATTATAGGCAACCGTACGGCCTTCAACA